GAAACATTTGTTGAGCACCGTCTAAAATAACGTGTAAGTATAGTTGGGTGACGGTCAATTATTTGATTGGAACGTCCCACTCGTTCCAATATTGTCATTTAATCAGCGAGCTTGACTTTCTGATCACAACCATAGTCAGAATTAGTTCGTAGCTATTATATTTTGATTTGGAGATGAAATACGCATAGATGAGAAGGGTAATATTTTTTGTGTGTATGTAAGTAATATTTTTTCTGTCACACATTAGCCAGCCTTCGGGTTGTCTGCAGTTGTTTTAACGCTGCCATGTTTAAAAAAATATTAAACGAGTTGTGGTACAAATAAAAATAGTGAGAATAATTGAGAAAAAAAAAAATTTGACTGATAAAAAATTTTTAGCGACTATTTTCACAAATGAAAGCAAGATATAAATTTAATTTGTAACGTAGCATATTGATCCACAAAAAATCTTCTGCGTATTGGGATACTTTTCTTTTTTTGGCAGAGTAAAGCTGAAAATAGAGCTTAAAAGTAAAATACTATGGCCGTCTTCATGTGTGTCATGATAACTCTGGTATTTATTGTACACTATATTAAAACGCAAAGTTTACATATACATACAAAAAGCTCAGCAACAGTAAAATTACATTAAAAATAATAGAGTCAGCACTCATTGACACTTTTTCAGCTCAGAGTAGAATGCGTAATCAGCATTGAGCTGTGTATTTGAATCTACATGCATTATTTAAAATAAGAACTATATGTTTCGAAAAGATTCAAAATGTTATGCCAGTATGAGTATTGCAACAGTAGTTTCCGTTATGTAATCACCATAGTCACTGGGGCCATTTTGCGGCCCGAGCGACTGCAGGGTAGCCCCGGTTGGTTGGCGGTTGTGTGGCGAATGTAATTTTTCTCTCCTGGCACGAAAAGTGCTCCAAGGTAGAAAATAGTAGTTTTCCTACTTTGGGCTTTTTTTAAACCTTGGGACGTTTATTGCCCCCTCCGTAGAAAAATAGAGTTCGAATCTGATGCGCATTCAACCTGAGCAAGCACAAGGAATCTCTGGTGCTTGCCCTGGTGACATTAGCCACCAGGTACGAAATAGCCTATATCCTCCCGACACCTTCGGCGTTTGCAGTCTGAAACACTATTTATTTTACCTCCCTAGGTAAGTAATATACCATTATCACTAAACAAAATAGTTACATTCAAGGTTTTGTGATTTAAATTAAAAATAAATAAATATTTTTTCTTACCTCGGGGCATTTTTCGTGACATTCGGATGTTTACTGTCCCTTTGGTTAAAAAAATAGTATTCATCATGCAAGTGATATCCAACCTGGACTACTTTACAGTCCTTCGAGCCACGAAATAGCTCCAGCGGCGATGGCACTTCTGTGACGAAAACTAATATTTAAAAAAACAATTCATAAAATTTAAATAATAAGTATCGATTGAAATTAATATTTTATAAGTTCAAAAAAGCATGGTAAAATAAAATTTAAAATTCAATATGTGAATTTAAAAATTTGTAGTTGTTGAGCCAGAATTAAAACTATTAGTTGCATTCACGTTTATCGTGATTTTTTTTTTTAGCTCCAGTTGTATACGAATCGCAGGAACTTCGTCAACTACTAGACGACAGCTTCAGTGAGTGTCGTGGGGGTTGAGCCCCCCTTAGTATGTTTAGAGAGGCGAAGCCCCCCCAACTACGAAACAATTGAAAAATCATAATAATCATAACAAAATATTACTAAAAAAAACTACGCAAGGAAAGGTGCTTAGTATATGCATGTGCAATTTTTTTGAATAAGTTTTTTAATTTTTTCTATTCAGATTTTTTTTGAGGAATAACCAAAACACATAGGACCCGTACTTTGTGCCCATAAAGCAAAAAAAGTTGTTTCCTTCCAGTAACAAATACACTTTTTTCTGTTGTGAAAAAATTAAGTATACTCCCAGGATGCAGTCAAACCTAAAAACTACCATCATTATTTTTTTACACAAAACTTATGTTTAAAAAATTACAAATTACGACGATTAAACTGTATAAGTTAAAACTACAAAAAACTCCTTGAAAGCGGTTATAATTGCCACTGAAAGAATAAATTATAATCTGTAACGGGCGATTGCGTATTGTTTTTCGAAAACTCAGGAGCTCCATCATTTATAGATAAAAAAACAAAATAATAATTAAACTGGTCACACTAACGTACCTTCTTGTATCTGTACCTGTAATCCAAGCACAACCCACACAAGCATACGCTCTGCTCGGCTCGAGACTGTTGGCAAAGATATATACTGGATGGGAGGCGAACGCGAAGTAGGCGGTAGGAGTTATAATACCTCAATTAAAAGCCGATCGAAACAGCCCCAGATTTATCGAGCCTAATGGTACAGTGTCGGTACTTGCACGCGCACACATGAAGTATAGATAATCCACGAAACAATCTCCTCTTTCATGTAGAACGCACGAGAGTTACAAAGAGAGAACAAGCAAATGTGCTTACAACGTATGATGCAGACAACGTGTGCACGAGCGTGCTTTGGTATACCTTACTTACGTATGTCGTAATTAATGGTGCAAAGTCGTGGATGCCACTTTTTTATTGACTCGGCGAACATCAAGAAAACGGGAGTGCGAGTCTAATATATGTACATGTGGACTAATGCGTCGACGAATTAAAGCCTTGCTGGATGTATGATCGGAACTACCACTATCCGCCACGCCAGTGTATACGTCACACTCTCGTGCATGGGTAATTAAGGCGAGAGGTGAAATTGCAGCATCAAGCATACCTTGAACCTGTATAGAACTGCTGGAACATGCGTGACTCCGACCGATTTTAAAGTCAAAGTTGCAACTTCGCAATGGACTACTTAGTGTATGTGTAGTGTGGGCAAACCGGTTCGAGATAGACATGCATGCAGTAGTCTTCCTCGCGATCGGAATAAGAGAAATATGGGGCGCTGCACAGTGGGACGGATCATAGAAAAAAACATCAAACTTCTGCCGTTGTGTGTGAATTTGGCTTAATTTTTATTTTTGAAGCGGGTAAAAGTTCCCAAGTGACTCTACTATAAGAATCTGAGTCTCCTGAATAGTGAAAATAAGTGAAAAAATCATCCTTCTGTTTATAATGTCCTTACGTTATCAGAGTAGTTTAGATGAGTTTTTATAAATATTCTACTTTTTAATTCGAGCTTGAACAGAATTTACCATTAAAAGTATGATTGAGTGGCGATTTCACTGATATTGTCAATATAATAAGATACCGTCGTAATAGTAATAAAATTATCGGATTTGTTCCTCCACTTGACGGTAATGGAAAAAAATATTTTTCATCGCAATCTCGGATAAGCGATTAATAATTTTTTTTAAAATGAGGAATCTGCCAGACTGCTATATATACTGTTTTAGCCCAACCTTTAGCGGAATATACTATATTTTTTTGTTTGCTCATGTACGGCACATATTATAAGTACAATTAAGAGTTAGTGCGTAAAAGATGGTAGTATAACCGAAACAAATTAAAGAAAGAAGGTATTGAAGTTGTTGGACAGTCTATACCGCCGGTGACAATAGGGCTTTGAAAATCATGCGTCTTGAATTGGAGCTGATTTACGGCAATGAAGATTCCACTAGCGATATTCGCTGACACAAAGGACAAACATGGACTTACAATGAAAGATCTCTACAATGTAGATAAAATAAATTTTCATTCCGTATTAAGAGTATGTAAGTCATCCAAAAGTTATCCAGTGTCTTAAATCTGTATTACTGATAGCAAAGGAACTCAATAATATTTGCAGCACGTATCTTTTGTTCAAGATTCAAATCTTAATATTGAATGATACTTTTTCAAAGTTGCAAATTGTATAAGTTTATGAGTTTGGTATTAAAAAATAATTTAAAAATATTATATTTTGGATCTGTAAAACACTGTAGTTTACCATCATTGAAATAAAAAAATTAAATTTTTTTTTGTGACTCAAGATTTGAATCATATTTAAATTATGAATCTTTAAATCTTTTGGACAGCCCTTCGTTATAGTTAAAATATTAAACTTTATTTGTTCACATAGAAACTTTATTTACCATAGAAACATTTTATAAAATAAATTCTTAAAACATATAAAATACAACATGAACGTAGTACAAAAACATGTCGATTGTAATAACCTGTGACTAATGGCTTTCACGTATTTCACTGCATCCATTGATGCATAAGATTGAGAAATTAAAAAAAAAAAAAAAAAAAAAAACTGTCCTTGGACATGAAGACTCAATTAAAAAGCTTGCTGAGTTTGAAACGCATCAGCAAAAATAGTTAGCTGAAAAAGTAAGCTTTACGTGTTATTTGATTAACGCCGCCTCATAAAGAATAAGAAAGTAAAACAAAGGATGGATCAAACGGGCCGAGAGTAAGAAACCTGTAGAAACTCTGTCTCTCATTCTCGATTCCAGTGGAAACGCACGTGGACCTCCCGTCGTCCTCTTCTCTATCCCACTATACGTTCACTGGTACATATATCTTTTCGTAGTCCACGTGTGAGCATTTTTACTTTTTATTTTACGACCTTCGATCGCTGTTGCAGCGTTACCTTTTGATTATGCACCTTTGCCGTCGTGCCCCGAGTGCGCTTGAAAAAAAGGTATATCGAAATCGAGAAAGTTAAAAGTCCAAGTTTATGTGACATAAATATACATGTGACCATACTTTTCTATACGTGTATTTTGTGTATTTTCGATTTTCCTTGTAGACAGGATTTCCTCATGAATCGGGGGACGTGTATACGTACCGAATTCATGTATATATATAGAAACTTATATAGATTTTTGTTGTAAAGTAATCATGAGAATATCAATGTAAAAATGACTGTTTTTATATGTTTAAAAAATTCACTGTGTGTGTATTGTGAAATTTTATTGCGTAAGTAGATGGGCGTGAATGTAAACCTTTGCTTAACACGCAAGGAGAAACAGGAATTGTGATTTAAAAGATAATGTTACTGAAATGAATAGCATTGCCATAAGGTAAAAGTACCAATGCTGGTACGATTTTTTGGTGAAATTTTGTTTCAAAATTCATACAAAATTACATGTAGAAGATAACATGAGCATTTAAACTCTTGATATATTTTGCTGCCTACTTATTAAATACATTTTTTGATGAATTCTATCTTAACAAGAAATAATTTTAATTTCATAAAAACTTACTATGTCATGTTGTACCTAAAGTGAAACACCATTGGGAATGCATGTCCCAATAGTGGTACGTGATGTCCCAATGGTGAAACGTACATGTTATTTCAATGGAAGCTATGTGTTTCACCAATGGGACATCTGAAATTTAAGGTTATGTTTGGAATTGTACGTATAATGAAACAGTCATTTTAATAAACTTTTTATTTCATTGTAATGCAATTGAAGATAGATGATAAGTTTTGTGGATGTGATAAGACACCACTTTAAAGATCTGTAATGAATTTTTTTAAGGTAAAGTTCTCAAACGTTTATTAGTTATTAACTGTTCCGCCATTGGAACAGAATTAAAAAGTGTGTTCCAGTATTGGTACTTTTACTTTAAGTTTACCGAATTCAAGGATTTCGTAATTTTGCTCTTGATATTTTTGTAATTTTCATAATAGTGCTGATTGAGAAAATAAACGCTTTATATGAGAATTGATAAAGCTAGTAGTCTTAATACATCGTGAGCCGTTTTTGATAAATTGGGATGTACTCGTTGATGATTCTTCTACCAATATATAAGATTTTGTCCTTGTAGTTTGATAGTAATTATGTGGTTCTTTCTTCCAAGAGCAAAGTGTTTCATCTTCTCAACATAAATTGAATCACAATAGGCAAAGTATTATTAGAAAAAGAAGGATCAGTATAAAGAAAGATTGATAGTGTCTGTATTACATGAAACATTACATAAAAATTGTGAAATTTTCACGCTATAATTAAGATTATGTAAATTCAATGTTCAGAATTTTATTATTATTTTTCCAATTTATGGAAGGTCATAACTACTTCAAAACTTTTGGAACCGTCTCTACAGTCATTTTAAGATTACGATAATTGNTATCTATTTGAAAATACTAATAATACCGTTCCCGAAATCGGTACATGTGTGATACAGCAGGACACAGTAAGTATTGACAGGATGATTTTTTCAAAAAAAAAGTAAATAAACAAGTAACGAAATTTCAATTGCCTTTAATACGAGGACTGAAAAATTTGGTTCTCACTTTTAAGATTCTCAAGCAGACCTTTACTTTACCTACTTCTTTATTTTATCCTGAAAAAAAAATTCGTAAAAATTTTGACATAGAATTAAAAAATTGACATTTTAATTCAATATCCAACTTGTCATGTATTATTTTTCTATTTAAATTGTAAAATACTGTTTATTTAAAACTTTTTAAGATTTGTATTTCTGACGTTCACCTCGAATGTTGAAGATAATTTGTAATTTAATAAATCTGTAAACAAAAGTTAATTCTATTGAATCATCGTGATATTTATCTCAAAAACTCAGTAAAAAATCCTCCGTTTTGTTTCTGTAGCGCTTTCATGTATACCTACCTTTAGGGTGTTGCTGTGTGATAGTGAAAAGAGTGAAAAAATTTTTCACAATCAGTGTTAGTGTAGTGAAAGAAGCTAGAATTTAGAGAGTATAAAGTAATTGGAGTTAAGCATAGAGTAGTTGAAGAAGTGTGCGATGAAATGATGATAAATATATCAATATTTGCTTGTAAATCTATTGGAATCACATTAATATCGAGATTTAAATAGGTTACATTAATATAATAAGCGAAGTATAAAAAGTAATTCTTAGATTGAAAAGTGACAGTGTGAAAACCTACAAACTAAGAGCCAAAATAGAAGAAGTGGTGGACAATTAGACTCTATAAATAAAATATTTGTAAAGGTTAAAAGAAAGTCGTAAAATAATCAAGAATAATATTTGAGAATATGTTGATGTAATGTATTTTTTGAAATATGTATAAATTTGATTATTGATATTTAACATTGTAACTAGCAGCAACTCTTTGTAACTAAGGTTTAAATGTAACAATGTGTGTCAAACTCGACTTGTCAAAAATTTAAGCAAAAGTTTAAAATATTAAATAAATAATATTATATCTACCTTGAATTTATCTGTGACTTTAAAGGGCTTTCCTGATGTTGACCTTTGAATGTTTTTTTTTTACGTTTACTTTTGTATCCATGTCTTTGAATTATCCCTCTAGCTTCAGGAAAATAATTTTGAAAAACTTCAGAAAAGTTTTCTTGTAGAAATTCTTAGAAATTTCTTCTTAGAAATGATAGAATTTTACAAAAGAAGCCTTTCACGACAATGAATACAATTACAACGAAAAAGGATGAAAAAGGATGAATTGATGCCAAGAAATCGTAGTACCAGTATTTTACTTTTATCGTCTCATATTTTGCTGTTTCTTGCGCCTTTTTAGGATTTGGAGTACTTTTCTTACTTTGGGCTTTCTGTTAATGTAACTTCATCCAAATTTATTTAGACGTTTCAACAAAGTTGAATAACAAATATCTGAATACCTAAACTTACATAATTGATTTCCATACTTGTAAAATTGAAAAAAAACGACATTTCTAATGTATTAAATTATACGTTCTTTTGCAGTGTTTTAATTTGTGTATCGTATAAAATTAATAGTCCACTAATAAGATAGATTGTAGTACACAATATATCAATACTAATGCAATTTCCATACTTTCCTATATTTTCGTATTAAATCTCTATGAGTTAAAATTAAGTATTAATTATTAAAAAAGCTGCATATTTTGCAGTAATGAGCTATTGTATAATTTTGTAACTTTTCAGGTCACTGGGTACGGAGTCGCGGGCAATAAGCCATGGTAGCGGTAGCAATGAAATGGGCGTCGATATGCCAATGCAGATTGGGCTGGGCGTGTTGGGTCCAGCGAGTACCGAACGAATCTGTAAGAATTTCCACCTTACGAATAAACAACAGTCAATTTGCAATAGGTCACCTCCAGTTCTGCAGGTAATCATTATTTTGAAAAATATCCATACCTGGTGTATTTGCATGTATGTATTTTTGAACCCACAGATGATTAATTTATTCTTGAGTGTAGTGTCCAGATGTTACATACGACGTACATCGATCGGCAAATAATTTGCAACCCCTGAACGAGTGTCACTTTTCATAACTTACAAACACAATATGTGCAGTGGCATTGAGCCTTGTTCTGAAGTCACGAATGATTTGCCAGGCCAGCTAGTGTACGAATGTAAAATAATTTTGGTGATAGTGCCTTTAACTTGCTTCAGTAAGGTTAATTCTGCAAGTTATTTGGTTTTTACGTGTTCCTGAATTACATTGACTATAGAGCTTTCATTTATATTAAAGAGTAATCCGTTGTATATAAAACATGATCGTTTCACAATGAAATTTTTGTATGAACGTGTTAACAAAATTTGTTAAAAATTTATTCGATAATCATACAGAAAAATGCGAATGAAACGTAAAAATACCTACGTATATATACGTTACTCATATATATACGAACGGTGCACCCCAATGCACTTTTATTTTTTCTTTTTGTGTTTATTTTAAAAACCACTACTTACGTCTGTGAAAGTGCTATGAAAAATTTCTGCATCGACAAGCCTCTTGGAGGTATGATAATCCATTTTTGTATACAAATTATTTTGGGAAATTCTTGTCTTCATTGATTTAGTTGTAGATGTAGGATTTTTTTTTTCGCCCCCACTGTCACTACACTCTGAATAAGCTTATCATTATAATGTACTTGAGAGTACACAAGAGCTACTCTCTTCATCTAAGCCCTTCTACGTGTAAGTATGCACGCGTACGCTGGTAATGAGTGCCGTTTCCTCAATCCGTAAGCCTTTTCGAAGCCTTTGATCCTCCGTGAAAAATACAACTCTCTTTCCTCCTGTACTTTCGGGATTATTTATCTTTGGTTATTAACGAAAGTACAATGCTCAGTGTAGGTAGCTGAATGATTTTTTTATTTTTTACTTTGCCGTTTACGCAAATCTTATCACCAAGTAACTAATACTTCAAAGAGATATCGGGATATTTACGATTGTGTCATTGTATACATTTGCATTTTATCTATTTGAAAATACTAATAATACCGTTCCCGAAATCGGTACATGTGTGATACAGCAGGACACAGTAAGTATTGACAGGATGATTTTTTCAAAAAAAAAGTAAATAAACAAGTAACGAAATTTCAATTGCCTTTAATACGAGGACTGAAAAATTTGGTTCTCACTTTTAAGATTCTCAAGCAGACCCAAAATCGGAACATCAAACAAGTGAGGTGTATACAACTCAATGTTTAAAAAATCTAACAATAAAGCCAACGTAGTGTGCTCTCCCGTACAAACATTTCAAAGAGACTCGCGATCAGGAAAAATTGAATCTGGCGTCTCTCCGAGTGGCGGAAGCCGTAAATGGCCCATAAAACCGACGTTTGGGAATTTTAAGCTCTTGCTCTCTCTCTCTCTCTCTCTCTCTCTCTTTCTCGTAAATATACCGTCCGTATAAAAAGGGGCCGCTGGTTCATTTTATTTTCAACTCTCACGTGCCTTTCAATGATAAAACCTCAAGACGTAACCCTCGAAAGAAAAAAAAATCCTCGTATGTATTTAATTTCAGATGAATAACTTAAAATGACATCAGTTCTGGATTCCCAAGAGTGTTAGATGCAGAGGGAAAATCCGTAAAATAAGTAAATGATCTTTTTACCACAGTGACAAGTTTTTTTAAACACTATTTACGATGCTGTGAGCTTAGAATATACACACAATAGTTCTCACGCGATCGCCAGACTTGACGTAAAATTTTTATTTTCAACTATGTATGGAAAATTTTTCAATCATAGTTATTTGCTCTACCAAGAATTTTGCTCTGAACTCCTTCAACTTGTATGTACTAAATTTCTTTTCTTGCTTGCTTTGATTTATTAGTATTTCACGTTGATTACTTTTCTGAATTATCAAATTGTGACGGCCAGCTAGGTTTGAAATATATAATTTGGCGTTTTTTATCACTTTTACAGTTTAAACATATCCTCACTCAGTATTTTACTAATTTTTGAGGAAAAAAGAGCGCACTCGGGATTGCAATTAAAAATAATTCACAAAATTTGGCAGGATAAAACAAAATTTGAATTATAGTTAATAACATTTTCTTTAGACCGATTTAAAAATCTATAATCTGATTTTTTTTTTGGGCAGGAAGCTTTCGAAACAGGTTTTTTGTGATGCAAAACGTCATTATGTCTTGTTGGGAAAGAAATCTCTGTTAGTATATATATGTGTGCGTGTGGGTGGATGTACATATCTTAGGTGTTCTTTTGATTAATTTTGTTTGTTCGAAACTTAAGTTACTGTGTTATGGGGGGGGGGGAGTGAATAAAAAAACAGATTTGTTTTTTACTGACGTGTGATATTGATAAAGAAAAGGTTCTATGATTACAAAAATGTCGATTAAGCAGTTTGTTGAATTTAATACTGCAGAATATAAATGAAAACGAAAAAAAATTGGTGGATGCGTGAATTTAACGAAATATCATATACCGAATCAAACAATAGTCCACTTTCTATGAAAAATGGTGATATTAAATAAAAATTTGTTTATTTCTATGTTTACAAGCTCTGAATTCGTAAATAACTTATGAATCTCAATCTTAAGCGAACTTTTTTTAAATCTTAACAATAATTATTTTGATATTTGTATTTTAAAGTAATTTATTACAAGAAGCCATATTATTTCCATGCTCTTTGAGAGTTTATGAAAAATTAATCGATACTGATTATAATTGGTAATAAAAATTAATCAATAATTGGTGGTAATTATTTTTAAAAATTAGTAGAAATTAAAAAAAAATAATCACAGCTTTTAATGTCTAAATTTGAGACAAGTAATAAGATTTGTTATTCGTAATTGTCTATTACAAGTTAGAATTAGAACTTTTTAATCCTGATTATGAGTTATTTTTTTTGTTCCCGAAATCAAACAGTACAACCGTGCCTATAAAGATTCTTTTTTTTTTATTTCTTATTATTATTTTTTCCATCTAATATAAAATATAAGACAATAAAAATTATCTATTGTTAACTGTTGTTAATAGCTATTAGTTTTTTATTGTCTGAAAAGTCGAGTATTAGATAGTGATCATTAACCATAAAAGTTATGTCTAGTTACTACTTTTATCGATGTTTCTGTAACGGCAGTTATGACGAAAAAAAAATAATAAAAAATAATAACTAATTATAACACTTATTAAACTATATTTGATAGTCTCAAATCTGGACTTTATAAATTATTGTTATTAGTTTTTATTTTTTTTGTTACTAAATCACAGAAAAAGTTTCCGCTTGGGAAGTAATGATATTCAGCATCAGCCACGAGTGCCAGTCTATCACCACGAGAACAGGAATCGTCCCACATGAATTTAATCGTGTACAAGATTTTTTATAATTCTGTGTAGATAGTAGTTTTCGTCACTGGTCCGCGTCTACTCCAGGGCGATCACTGTACCTATATAATCACCCTGGCTTGATGCACATTAGTGACGAACGCTATTTTTCTTGCCAAAGGTGCAATAAACATTCAAATATAAAAAAAACACCCCTAAAAAATTTGTTTTCATCTGCCATATCAATCCGTAACCAGAAAAGAAGGCAATGGATGTGTAGTGTATATTTGTATTTGTTTGATAAAAATTCCCTACTTTGATATTACTCACGTTTTTAACGAATGTATTACAATAGTATGTACATTAAAGAATGCACTGGTTCTAAATTTTTGATAAAAACTCTTCATTTCAACCTTCCGTTGTTTCAAAACTATTTTTGCAATATAAAAAAGCCAAATATAAATAAATAATTGAGTGAATGAATATTAGGCCAATTGATTTTGCTTGTGCACAGACACACAATGTATAATTTTTCCGGAGCTATCATTCGATCGTAATATTAACGGTGATGATGTGTTATTGCAGGCAGTCAGGGCAGGTGCAAGACTGGCGATAGAGGAGTGCCAACATCAGTTCAGACTGTCACGATGGAATTGCACCATTAGTCCAGAGAGCACCGATAACATTTTTGGTGGCGTTATGTTAGTGAGTAAGTACAGTAGCAACTTCCTTAAGCTTCTCGAGTTGGTTTATTGCCATGTCGGAAAGTGAGAAAATAATGATCATCTTATTAGTTATACCTCGATAGAAAAAAAAACAAAAAAAACAATACATTCAATATAAGATGTTAAAACTGCGCAGACAGCCGTGAAGCAGCCTTCGTCTACGCGATATCAGCAGCCGGCGTCGCCTACAGCGTGACCCGAGCCTGCTCCAGAGGAGAGCTAACCGACTGCTCGTGCGACAACCGCGTGAGGACGCGCCAGCATTCCAGCAACTGGCAATGGGGTGGATGCAGCGAGGTTAGTATTTCTATCCAAAATTATAATTTTTGTTTTGGATTTTTAATTTTTTAATTTAGATTTATATATATCATTTGATTCAATGAGTCTCTAAAATCTTAAACTGGAAATAATAGCTTTATGTATAGTAATGTAGTGTAGCGATGGGTGGTTTCTTCTATTTGCTTTTTTTGAATACGTTATGATTAAATAAGTATATAAGTGGCTTATCATCGTGATTATAATAAGAACGTATATATATATATATATATATATATATATACANTACCCATGCAGAGAGCAAAAATTATTCTGACGACTGCATGAGGCTTTATCGTATAATATAATATATTCATGTAATGTGCATTAATAATGTAGATGTACATATGAATATGTATGAAAGATCATAGAAAAACGCCATAATATGTTATTCTCCCAAACTAAAACAAGATGAAGGAGCATAAAAATAGTAACGACAAAACATTAAAATACAGATAATTTTTTATGCTTGTATGAGCAAATCTCAGAAATTTTTTTATTTAAGGCAACAATGAAAATTTCTTAATTTAAGAGTATACTCATGAAATTTTTTGTAAAGTCTTTCCTTGTCATAAAGTTTGTAACCAAGTAAACTTATCCTCATTTTTTTATACTAAATGCTCCAAAAGTTATAAACAATTGCTTAAACAAAAAAAACTTTTTTTTATTTTGTTTCAGGCATTTTTTTTTAATTATTTAATTCTTTAAAGAAGAAAAACTCTAGACTTTTTAAAGTTTAAACTTTTTTCATGAAGTGTTTCTAAAAAAAAGTAGTGAATTTCTTAGCTTTACATAATCGTTTAAGTCAATGGAGATAGAGCTCTAATAGTTGAAAAATTACTTAAAATTTAGATACTATAAAGATTATTGTAATAAGTAAAACAGAAACAAATTTTTTTTAACGTGATAAGGGACACGCAGTGCAATAAAGATTTAAATTGGATAATTTTTATTTGACAACCAACTATCGCAGGCCAAGCTGCTAAAAAATATTTGCCGCACAGTCCTTTTCATAGTTATTAGCTATTTGTTACTGATGTTAGAATATTAATAACAATTAGCTTAATTTATAAAGCATATTCATTACAAGACGTAAACATGTAATTACAGAGTTAATAACAAGTTGATCAGTTATCATTTTTTATAAAACCTGCTGATGGAGTTATAAAATTTTATAAGACACATTAACAATAAACATTAATTATTTAGTTTTTACTATTTTGTATAAATAGTCATTTTCACAGCATTCACCATAAAAAAAAATTTTTTTTTTATCGACCGCAAAACACGTTAATTATAATTAACAAGATCTAAAACTTTCATTACGATAAATACTCTGGCACATGCAATATCTTTTTGTTATTTGTGTTGGCGATAATTGATTTTTTTTTAAATTGTTTAAGATAAACAAAACGACATTAAACGTTAAAACTTTTGTTAACAAAAGTTTTAGACTACTAGGATTTACAATTTTTCTGGAAAATGTATGCATACAAATAATTAAATTTTAATACTTGCAAATGTCTTATTCCTATATCGGTTCTATAAAATAGCTTCAAAGAATAAATGAAAGAATAACTTTTTTCTATGTATACTTTCACATCTTAATCTAATTCACTGATTAAAAATTTACCAGAATCGTATGATTTGGTTAAGATGCAATTGTTGAAACAAATACAAAAATGCGTTCTGGTTTGGACTATATTTTTTAAACAATTTGGTCAATTTTATGAACAAAATATTTCTTGCATGATTTTGTTTATTGCTATCAGAAAAGTTAAGAATTTCTTTAAAACTTTACATAAAAGTACTATTTACTTTACATGATAAAACCAACTTTTTTGACGTGTTGCATATACGTTAGATCTATTTATCTGTATGTTTGTTGCATTGAACTTAGTGATTAACAGTATTTTTTTATGATGTTTTTATGAAAATTCGTGATGTGCTAGCAAAAATATTGATTTTTTAAAATTATGTTCAAGACCTTTTTGTAATTATGATTTTATTTCTGGCTTACGTAGGGAAGCACCTTAAATTACAACACAGATAACTTTATTTTTTAGTGTAGTTTAACAAAAAAATTTTTTAACGGTGATTTAACAAATGCTCGAAACATGACATGCCAAAATATCAAAAGATATGTTTTTAGTAAAAATGTAGGTACTACTTCAAGCCTCGAATTCGGAGCACACCCAAAATCATGAAAGTTTTTTCAAAAGTATATTAAAAATTAACTCTGTTCTAAATGTTAGGTCATTTAGAGCTATGCTCTAAAAGTTACAGCGTACCAAAGAAAATAATTTTTCAAAAAGTAATCTAAAATTCAGTACTTCTTACAATTTTTTCGCTTAATTGTTCTGTACTGAAATAATACAATCCATCTAATACTTAGTGTTTGATTTTTTATCTATATAAATATCCATAGAATTAAACTACAGTGAAAGAGTGAGAAGAAAATAGTGATTTGATCAAATATTTTGTCAGGAACAGAAAAAAAAGTTTATGGGATTTGCTCATATACTGCTATAGCTGTTACTTATGTAACTATCATTAGAAAAAAATTTGAATCAAAATTTTGAATTTTCAGTACACCTTGACGAAATGTCTTTAAGTTTTGAACACATAATCCTTTATCTATTATCAATTTCCTGTTAAAATTGTAGAAAGTCTAGCGGTGCTGAAATGAAAACGAGCATTTTATTCGATTACAGAATATCGTACAATCAACTTTATTTAAAAACTGATATCTTATTCCGTATAGCTATAGAAATATTATATTAAAAAATTTTTAAATTGCCTGTACCGCTTAGAAAATATTTTAATTTTAATGTATTTTTCCGTGTTTCAGCATATATTTATATAGTAGCCACGAATACCATTTAAAATTTTTTATAGTTTCACAAGATCGTTGTGGTTTTAGCTACAGGTAATGTTTTAAACATTACTATTAAACACATTTTAGTCACAAATAGTTGTATTAAATCGCTGTTATTGTAAAATCAATTATATCGGTGGGTTTCAGGTGAACGACTACCTTAAAACAAATAGTTGGTCCATACGGAATTAGACCTTACAGTAGTATCAGAAAGATTTTCACCATTAAGGTTACTTCTTGAATCACGTTAGTCAATTATTATTTGCTTATCATAATTTTTATAATCAAGCGAAAAAACAATTTAAGAGTTGAATCAACTTTGTTAAACTGGAGTGGGCACTAATTGATTATTATGTTCGTCAAAATGTGTACATGATTCCATCAGTATCGAAAACCTATGTAAAACGGATGCATTTGAAAGGATTCCCTAAAATAAAAAAAATAAAAAAATGAAAAAAAAAAATGTCCTACCTCAAGAAATTAAAAGAAAAAAGGTGTAACCATCACCGTACAAGGTGCACGTATCGATGAGCAGCGATATAATTACTAAATCTCGTAAGACGAGCTTTCGTTCAGCAAATCATGTCATCGTGCGGTTATTCTTGAAAAAAAAATTGCCTCGAAATCCGAAACAAAAGAGCAGTTCGGTGCACACGTGAGGGTACACGTATACATTATATTGTGTGTAAACGTAAACATGTGTATATGCCGGAGAGCGCGTTTTTCGTGGAACGGCGCGGTGAAGGCAAGGGGGCGGAAGCCGCAGGGATATAAAGTATCTGCATGCAATGCGCACTGAGCTGGTTCGGTGGTGGTTTAGATACACATGTTAAGGTAAAAGGAGAAGAAATGCGAGAAAAAGGCATCACGGGAACCGAACGAGCTAGTTAACTCTGTGTGGGTATATGTTACGCATACGTATGCCACACAAATATGTAATATATACTTGACCCGTGGATTGTGCAATGGGCTTCGGTTGTCGTCGACAGGCGAAGGTATACTTATCCAAGGTGCTTTCTTTTGCTTTCTCTATATGTGCGTTCAGTTCATCTGATGGCCGACGATCGGTCCCGAGTTAAGAGGGAGGCCGAAGGCAGGGAGAGGGTACGTCGTAACTTAACAAGCTTAGGCCCCTTAATCTCCTTGTAAGCTCGTGATGTCTACAAGGGGTCATCTGTTCACGCAAAACGCATCCGTTTTACTCTGTTCTCCTCGATTTTTTTTTTTCCTCGGTTGAACGAAACTCTGGCATTTTTTTTGTTTTGTTTTTTTTTGTTTATCCTTGTTATACGTGGCTGTAGATGTCACTTCCACTTTTAGAACCCTTACTTTTACTTGGGCGACTTTATATCCATCTAGCAATTTGTCAATGTACGATAAATGATCGACGTAGAATAATCTACACATGTGGTGAAAATTCGAGATCGTTATCACCATACTTTGAACGGTCATGGTGGCATACCGGTAGAATTGCAGCTTCGTCGATCAACGAGGTATATTCAATAGTATTTGGTGCGATTTGTACTTGGATGGTTGACCGTTTGGTCACTCGCCGATTGTCTTCGTTGCTGATTTTTCTGATCGATCAACTGTTTCTCTCCTGCCTTGACAACGTGAACAAGGTGTGCAGGAGTTAGTTCTCAAATAGAATTCAAACATTACTCAGTCAGATTTTATTTGGAAATATTCCACAGTTCATTATTTTCTGCTTTTTAGGCGCGATCAATGCATGGAAGTTTCTTATATATTTTTGTCAGTACCAAATAGCGAACAATTTATAAATCGTCCATGTTTGAGGTAAAAGAAATTTAGAACCTACAGTATGAAGGCGATCCGAGTCGCTCACATAGTGTATGTATGTATGTATGTATCACATGTGTGTACGTAATCAATATTTGTTGTAACCCGCCAGTCTAATATATACTGTAAATAGTAAAAATCTATAACTTTTCTACATTACGTTTGTAGATAAAATGTTGAGTACATAAGTTGTAGATCACGTACGAAAATACACTTTTTTGTATTAACCATTTTTATAGATATTGTCGTCTTAACACTTAAAACAAATAAATCGTTTTAAAAAATTNTTTTCCAAATTGAAGTAACTGTTATAATCAATAAATGTTTCTAGATTAATTTTTACCCCTATTATTTTACGACAGCCAAGCTTTTTACGAAATGAAAACCTACTTTTTTTAAAGCTTTTATTATTAATTAAAGTGAAAATAATTAAAGTAGATATATAAAAAAAAAACTGTTCTTAATGTTACATTTTTGGAATCTAAGTAGTTAGTACGATAGTAAATATTTTTAGATTAGTTGATAAATTTTTTCGTGTCATTTGCGAATCACATGTTTAATATAAGTCTTATCAAAATAAACTTTTTTGTATTTGGCATTTTCGTCTATGGTGTCGTACTAAACATAAAATACAACGAAAACGTTTTAAAATGGCTGACAAATTGTTTTGTGGTACGTAATGTTATTTGACATTTGGTGACAATGTATAAAATCTACTTGGATATCACATTAAACTATAAGAAAATGATCTCCAACTAAAATCCTCATGTTAAAATTACACGATTGCTGATGGCAGTTCGTGAATTGATCGCGACTTACATGCAAGATGTAACGTTTTGCATAAATTTAGCCACTTGTTTATAAATTGTCATTCATCGTGTGGGAAGAAGCACAGTTTATCGTAACAAATTAATTATACTGAAATCAAAACGACTGTGGTGATATATTCCATATATCTTCGCTTAGGCGGTAAAAGAGGATGATTCGGTTATGAAAGGTACAATTTTTATGTCTTCCAGTCCGAACAGCAATCACTTTGCACCTGTTGTAGCTCGTGAAATTGCTTCTCTTCTGTGCAAACGATGTACAATTTCATCCATCCAGAAAATGGTAACGCCAGAGCGTGCAAATTGGTGCAAGAAAATAAAAAGATTCTACTACCTACTGACATAAAAGGGACCGAGTTAAGAAAGAAAAGGAAACAGGGCGAAAACGAGGGTAACTGGCGATAAGCGAGAACAAACATTGCTATAGTAGCGTCAACGCGTAGTACAGGGGACAATTTTTGTATTTCGCATGGATAACATCTTTAATATAGGGTACATACACATAAAGCCAATAGGGTACTGCTATATCTGATGGAAATGACGCTCGTTACGTACATTAAAAAGCCTCGAGATATGCAGCAGTGACTGCTTGAGTAAAGTCATCTTTAGATTTTGTAAACGTACATGTACACGTAGGATACTGTAAAAAATGGGTTAAAGAAAACTATACTTTGAAAAAAATGTTTTCACGTGGTTTTATTTTAAACGTAAAAGTAAGTATCCAGCGTTCCTTCAAACAGTTTCGTTCATACGACTTTTGGTCAGATTAGCATGATGTACTCTACCAGAGCACAAGTTAAAGATTCTTTTGAGTTTTTAAATTACTGTTTAGCACCAACGTTGCTACGTTATTGTAACTCGGGTACAGCCTAGAAGCTCATTGAGTAAAACCATCCTGATTGATACCGTATCTATACATATCAGTATATACTTATGTGCGCTTTTTTTTAACAGGACATACACTTTGGAGAAAAGTTCTCCCGCGAATGGCTAGAAGCGAGCGAAGAGCCAGTCAAAGAGGACGCGATTGGTGGTCCCGACAGCCTGGCTGGACTCCTCATGCGGAAGCACGATAGCGAGGCTGGAAGACGGGCCGTGCGCTCGAGGATGCAACGGGTGTGCAAGTGCCACGGTAATATTTATTGATCATACATCGCATACCTTACCGTTGATAGCAGAGACATTGACTCTGTAGAGCATTAATCATATGGTTCAGTTAGAGGACTACAAAAGTAAAATGTCTCGTAGAACATCATTTTAGCTGATGATGAGCTGATTCGATTCGAATCAATACTACGTTTTTAATTGTATAGTTATGTAAAACAACTTATTGAAATTCAAACTCCAGCCACAGCCCGTATTTTTCCCCATGCGCACTGTAACCGGTCGGCCACTTAGTCGCAAGAAAAGGGTACAGATAGCATGCGGTGTCATGCAGAAATACATGAGGATGATACACAAATTTTTTTCGCAATTAAAAATTTAATTATTAGTCCGTTATTGCAAAAAAATACCAATTTCTTATATCTCAGCTTTAAAGTGAGCTTAGAGCGTTGTTAGGAAAGAAAGTATGCTAAATGGGCTGAGATATTTGTAATTGTTTGAGTTGCAAAATACAATTTTTGCTGGCAAAAGGTCAAAATTCGCAAAAATCGATTTTTATTTATTTTTTATCATTACTAACATTAAATACAATTTTTTTATCGAAGCGAAATACCGATAAATTGACCGTGAACTTTGTAACAATTTGTCCATGTACGATAAATGATCGACGTAGAATAATCTACACATGTGGTGAAAATTCGAGATCGTTATCACCATACTTTGAACGGTCATGGTGGCATACCGGTAGNAAAAAAAAAAAAAAAAAACAAATAACTCAAGCAGTATACATAGTTTATGACATGTTGCAATAGTTTTTCTGATAAGATCCAAACCATTAAATATAAGATATCTTTTACTAAAACAAGTATAATCTGTTCCAATTTCTGAAATAGCTTTTTGTGTCGATAATAACTAATTACGTGTTAAACGTCATACTACCAGAAGCACACAAGAGTTTTTGTAATTATCTATTGGTAATTTATTAAGCTTGACGAACTTTCATACTTAACAAAGGTACATTACTTATCAACCTTTTTGTACGTACCAGAAAACTGTTCAACAAATATTTTTTTCGAAATTTAAGTGACTACTAAAATCAATTAATATTTTCGGATTACTTGTAACACTTATTATTTTAGAACAGTCAGGTATTAACAAATTGAAAACGAAAAAGTGAAAAAAAATATTAAAAAACGATCTTTTATGAATCTCTTATTTTATTAATTGAATACAAAAAAATTTACAATTTACTTGTTAAAAAAAAGACAACTTCTACTAAAAAATTATTGTCTACTCTTAATCTTGAAATACCTGAGCATGTCGATAATTACATTTTAATTCGTCAAACGTTATGCCCCTGATAGAACATTAAAGTATAAGTAAATTATTTTTGGAAATTCATTAGGCTTGAAATCTTTTCTAACTTACCGAGAATACATTACTTCCATTGTTTTCTCAACACAACCGAAAGACTGTCCTATTCGTAGATTTATCGAAATGTAAGTAACTTTAATATTCGGTAGTCATTACTATATGAGTTGTTTTACGTATTTTCTCTCAATAAACAAGCTTTTTTCGAAATGGAAATGATCAGGTTTTAAAAAAAAATGTAAAAAAATTGACAAAAATCAACTTTTTATAACTCTTACCACTAATTCTAAGAGAGAAAAAAATAAAGTAGATAATAAATTCAAATATTAAAAATAGTTAAATTACTGTAGTATAATGATATAAAAAATTTTTTTCGCACTTTTTTGCCATTCACATGTTATTAACAATTAATGATGGATTTGCAGCAGTATCTATTTTATATTTTATGACACAGAGATTGGTGGTCGAAAAATTTCTCTTGGAGCAATAGAAGCGGAGATTTAAGCAAAAAAAAAAATAAAATTTGCCATTTTTTCAGAAATTGTTAAATAAATAAATGAAGCCAACTTTTGATTTGGACAAAACTATTTTTCCTGTATTCTTTGAGAAATTCTGTACGAGAATGACCAATTTTTTCTCTGCTGGAAAACATAAGATTGAAAAATCTTTCGGGCCATGGACATGTTAATTGTACAGATTATACAAATTAATGATGGCTTCGATAGTTTGATAATATACTTAAATATAAATAAAAAATAATAAATTAAAATATACTTGTACCCTAACAGCCAAAACAAAAACGACCTGGTACTTGAAAAAATAAATAAAAATCGTCATAAGACTAGAAATGGGACGTTAAAGTCTTTGTAAATAATTCTTAGTAATCCATTAAGCTTGACTCATTTTTAAGATACTTACTAAAAATACATTACTTCCATTATCTTTTCGTACATATAAAAAAAAAACTGTTCTTAATGTTACATTTTTGGAATCTAAGTAGTTAGTACGATAGTAAATATTTTTAGATTAGTTGTACCCATTATTTTACAATAATCAGAAGCTTTTAAGAAAATAAAAATGATACTGCAAATAAAAAAACCAACTATCTTCAAACTCTTACTATTAATTAAAGAGAAAAAAATGTAAGGTAGACAATGTACTTAATAACAAAAAACAATGACTTCTACTTAAAAATTATACCCTGCTCTAATTCTTAAAATAGCTGAACGTATCAATAATTACTTTTTAATTCGTCAAACGTTATGTCACCGATTAAACATTAAGGTACAAGTAAACTATATTTAAAAATTCATTAAGCCTAACTTACTTTTGTACTTACCAGGAATACATTACTTCCGTAATCTTATTGTATCCAACAAAAAAACCGTTTATATCGATTTCTCAAATCAATTACTTTTAAAATTAATAAACATTTACAGAAAGGTCATTACATCTATTTTAAAACAGTCAAGTGGTTTACAAATTGAAAATGAAATGGGAAATAAAAATGTAAGAAAACGATCTCTTTCGACCTCATGCGTTTTTGACGGTCAGGTGCCCCTTCGGTAGGAAAAATAGGATTTGCCACATAAGCACCATCGCTCCTTGGCTACATAACGTTCCTCGAGCCCTACTTCGCAGGTACCTCGGGCCTCAAAATAGCCCCGAAGACGATGGCACTTATCCAACGAAAACCACCATTTTTTACCATGGCCACAGAGTGCAACTGTAACTTTGAGCCCTCGGGCCATACTTTACACCCTTGTCACCACTTTCGGCCCACGAACAAAAAAGTTTTTTGCGCCCTCCAGGTCCAAAGTGATTTACTGGGCGCAAAGTGTGCCCACGGGCGCTAAATTGCACTTTGCACCCTCGGTAAGAAAAACATTATACACAACTCGAGCACCAACATACAACAACCACGCCTTTCGGGCGCTTATGTTTGTACTTTGTGCCCTAGAAACGTAATGTACCGTACTTCAATCTCTTAATATTAATTAAATACAAAAAAAAAATTACAGTTTACTTGTTAAAAACAAAATGACTTATACTTAAAACTCATTCGCTACTCTTATTCTTGAAATAGTTAAGCGTGTCAATAACTACATTTTAATTCGTTAAAAGTTATGTCACCGATAACATATTCAAGCATAAGTAAATAGTTTTTTAGATTTCATTAAGCTTGATTTTTATTGCAACTTACCGAGAAAACATTACGTACTAAAACAATTTTTTTTTTTTAATTTGCATCTCAGGATCTCAAAAACCGTGTACTTAAATGTTAAAATAGCAAATGACTTACAGCGTAATCCTATTTTTTATTAATTTGAGACGTTAAAAATCAGATGTTTTCTACTTACACCAGCCTTATCTGCCTGAATTTTTAAAATACCTAATCAGATAGGTAATTACTTTGTAATGCGTGAAATATCATTCAATCAGTAAAACATTAGAGTGTTAGTAAATACTTCTTAGTAATTCATAAAGTTTGAATTATTTTTGTACTTACCGGTAATACTAATGCATTATTTTTTTTTATAACTGTACACCGATGAGAAACTGATTTTTTAACTGATTAAAGAAAAAAGTATAAATAAATAATCAAAAACCAACAGTTTTTAAAACTTACTTACCAAAGAAAAAAAAAAAAAAAAAAACAAATAACTCAAGCAGTATACATAGTTTATGACATGTTGCAATAGTTTTTCTGATAAGATCCAAACCATTAAATATAAGATATCTTTTACTAAAACAAGTATAATCTGTTCCAATTTCTGAAATAGCTTTTTGTGTCGATAATAACTAATTACGTGTTAAACGTCATACTACCAGAAGCACACAAGAGTTTTTGTAATTATCTATTGGTAATTTATTAAGCTTGACGAACTTTCATACTTAACAAAGGTACATTACTTATCAACCTTTTTGTACGTACCAGAAAACTGTTCAACAAATATTTTTTTCGAAATTTAAGTGACTACTAAAATCAATTAATATTTTCGGATTACTTGTAACACTTATTATTTTAGAACAGTCAGGTATTAACAAATTGAAAACGAAAAAGTGAAAAAAAATATTAAAAAACGATCTTTTATGAATCTCTTATTTTATTAATTGAATACAAAAAAATTTACAATTTACTTGTTAAAAAAAAGACAACTTCTACTAAAAAATTATTGTCTACTCTTAATCTTGAAATACCTGAGCATGTCGATAATTACATTTTAATTCGTCAAACGTTATGCCCCTGATAGAACATTAAAGTATAAGTAAATTATTTTTGGAAATTCATTAGGCTTGAAATCTTTTCTAACTTACCGAGAATACATTACTTCCATTGTTTTCTCAACACAACCGAAAGACTGTCCTATTCGTAGATTTATCGAAATGTAAGTAACTTTAATATTCGGTAGTCATTACTATATGAGTTGTTTTACGTATTTTCTCTCAATAAACAAGCTTTTTTCGAAATGGAAATGATCAGGTTTTAAAAAAAAATGTAAAAAAATTGACAAAAATCAACTTTTTATAACTCTTACCACTAATTCTAAGAGAGAAAAAAATAAAGTAGATAATAAATTCAAATATTAAAAATAGTTAAATTACTGTAGTATAATCCTCCCTGTAAATTATTAAAATCTCATTTATAAGATGACTTCTATTAAAACAAGCGTAGTCTTACCCGATTCTTGGAATGCTGAACGTACACTCGTATGAATTATTAAATTTTATTGCATTAAACGTCATATCACTGAAACAACTTTAAAGTTTTAATCAAGAATTCTCAGTGATTTTTTAAGCCACATTTCTCTGTTAATATACTGGAGATACATTACTTTTGTTATTTTTCTTTACACAATTAAAAAAACTTTTATTTGAATTGATTTCTCAAAATCGAAGTAACTTTTACATACGTTAATTATTTGTGGACTAGTTAGTACACCATTTTTTCGCAACATACAAGTGTTAAGCAAAAATTTCACAATCTTTTAGTAAAAATTAAAACATTGAATAAATAAAAAAATGTTTTCTTTTTTTTTTAATTACTTAGCTAAGAGAAAGAATCTAAAGCAGACAATAAGCTGAAACTTTAAGTTGTAAGTGACTTATACCGTAATTCTCTCTTTAAATAATCTAAGACGCTGAATGTAAGATGTCTCATACCAAAACAAGCCTAATTTGCTCTAATTTTTGGAATAGCTGATGAACGTATTAGTAATTTGATTTTAATGCATCAAACGCCATATCATTGATAGCACATTGCTATCTATGTAAATATTCTTAGTAGTTCATTTAACTTGACTCGTTTTCATACTATTACTACATTACTTACGTTATCTTTTTGTACACTTAAAAAAAAAACTGATATTTATATCAATTTTTCCAAATTGAAGTAACTGTTATAATCAATAAATGTTTCTAGATTAATTTTTACCCCTATTATTTTACGACAGCCAAGCTTTTTACGAAATGAAAACCTACTTTTTTTAAAGCTTTTATTATTAATTAAAGTGAAAATAATTAAAGTAGATAATATACTCATTAAAAATGTTGAGAACCACTAAACTTTTTTGCTCTTAGAATCTTAACATGAACAATACAATAATTTCTTAGAAAGCTTATATTTTTTAACTATCATCCAAACAGACATACGTTCACGTTGTACCTTCAAATTTCTAGCTTTGACCACGAGCGGAGGGCGCTACGGTCATTCTCGGAGTTAATAGTATATTCTTATAAGTTATCTCATACAAATCTTTCTTACTATTTCCTGTAATTTTATTAACATAACTTTAAATAACAGATTTTTTTAGGGGAAGAAATGGGTAAGATACTTCTATCTTTTAGTTGCTAAATAGGGCTGTATAAGGTGGCTCATAAAAATGAGCCTTATTGATGGAGTTATACTTAAACGATTTTGATTATTGTTTTTTTTTCTTTTTTTTTATTATTATTTTTTTTTTTATTAAACCATTTAGGCCAGAGGCTCATTAGGTACATGAAGGAAAAAAGAAAAAAAAGAATAAAGCAAATACATAATATTGGAATGTTACAACTACAATGATGTTATAGTCTATGAATAGCTTAGTTTATCATACAATAACAGTATCTTATTAAACATTCAAATTGCACATCTTGAAAAATGATCCAATAGCGTTACAGGCATCAACATTAGGCTCAGCCACTAGCATGTCTACATTGGCAGAAAACTGTCTGTGAAGAGCGTAAAGATCATTAATGAGTTGGATCCTTTGATTTTCATATAGATTACAATTAAAGAGAACGTGGTTAATGTCTTCATACTCAGCTCCACATTTATAATAAGATTGATCGATTATGTTGACTTTAGCTAGTGAATAAGCCAATCTGTAGTGATCACTTCTGATTCTATTAATTGTAACTATATTTTTTCTGTCTAAGTCTTTTTTATAAAACCAGGGATAAGATCTAGGTTTATATATATATTTTCTTCTTTCTCTTTTTAGGATAGATTAAAGCTATCGCAGGAACTAGAGTCACTTTCAGAAAGGTCATTTTAAGTGAGGTATTTTTTTGACAGTTGGTTTTTGAGCCTTGTAATTCTGTGTCTGAGTTTGTGATCAACAATTAGATTCCTGATCTCAACAAGATATGACAACATATCAGAACTGTTGCAGTTGAGCTTCATAAGTATGTCATCTACCAGAATTTGACCATGAGATTCAAAAAGGAACTGAGTTGATGTTTCTTTGTTAACTTTAAGTGTTAAATTGTTATTATCGATTTCATGTATGACAGGAGCTAGTTGACGAGACACTTCCTCGAACGTGATATTAGATCTGGTGGTCTTGAGTTGAGTCTTGTTTCTTTTGGGTCTGGTTTTTTTCGTAAACTCCTCTGAGTGTATTTCACTTGTTCTAGAGCTAGATGTAAATTCGCTGGTGGTATCTAAATGCCTCTTGTGAATGCCCTGCGACGGTGGGGGCATGACAGCGCTGCAATCAAGTTGAGAAGAATCAGGGTTGGTTAGGTTGTCAACAGGAGGATTAGCATCCAAGGCATCCATTAATACGGAGGAATACGCGTTTTCACTTTCATTTATGTTAGTATCAAGGTCGGCACGTATTATCTGACTTTGGTTTTCACAGTTCTTAGCAAGATGCCCTTCTTGTTTGCATAAGAAGCAGGCAATTTTATCAGCAGAGAAATAAACATGAAAGACCGTGTCGTCACAGGAAATAGGTATGCTAGGTTTGAGTTTGTGAAGATCGGACTCTTGAATGTAAATCTATCTTCTAAAACTGAAGATATGAGCGAATTTTGAGTTAATACTGCTAGCTTTGACGTAATTGATGTGTGACACGGGTTTTATTCCCATCTTACGTAGTTCGTCTAGAAGCAGACTGTTGGGATGCATGGTCTCACATTTGATATAATGATTCTTTTGGTTTTAGATTTAAGAAGGCGAATTCGGACAACCAAGTTGTTTACTATTATGCTTTTCACATTTTCACATACTTAAATGCTGAGCCGTTTCTGCACTGTCCAGATAAATACATATCCGTTGATTGGCTATGCGTGAAGCGAATTTGATTTTTAGTGGATCAATGTGGTTACCGATTTCATATACATATTCTATGTAAGGGGTATCATCGATTGCATCGACTACGATTGCTTGGTCGTCAGTATAATATATACACTCTCTTCTGCCACCTTTTCTGCCATACGATTTTTGTTTTGCGACTTTGTTTCCAGTATTAGTAGAGCTATGGCTGTCCTTTTGTGATGAGTTGTGATGAGCGCTGCCAGAAGAAGCTTCTTCACCTTGGACGTTGAATTTGTTTGTCTTTGTCGCACCAACAGGCATGGGCGACATATTGAGGTTAGGTTGACGTCTCAGTGGACTGAGACGTCAATCTCGACGAGCTAAACCTAGCGCCCACCTACAGACGGGCACCTTCTCCAAGAAACGACCGCCGCCCGGGCCCTTATGACCACTATCCACTGATAGCACCTCAATCTATTATACTATGTTAAGCAACACGCACGGAAGATACGTAGATGCTCTCCGATCCGTTGTCATGGCGCAACTCAAGCATGAATTATCTTTGATTATTGTATAGCTATGTAATGTTTCGATTGTTACATGTTTTTTGCAACAGATCGTACAAATATATTACACAAATTAAAAATTTTACATATTTTTATATTACAAACAAAANTTTTTCTAATATAAACTACCAAAATTGTTAAAAAAAATTATCGAGCAATGCTGTTAAATACGGGGAATATAGTGAAACATAACCTAAAATATTTGATGCCCCCCCGCCCCCCCTCATTGGAACGCGCTCAACTCAACCTATATCAATTATATCCTTATGCGACCGGGAGCGGAACACAGTGTCAGAGCCACAAATTTCAATCACAAAGTTTATCTATTGGCCTCTTGAGAAATGTGAAGAACTAGATGAAAAAAGTTATATTTATAATATATTTTCATTGTACAACAAAAACAATAGAAAAATGACAATAATACCGTAACTTTTCCAGAACCAATTTTTTGCCCAAAAATAATAGTTCGTTGCAGATGATGAAAATGTAGTAAGTATGTGGGGGGGGGGGTTTGGGGGGAGAATAATCGAGAGGGGCTGTGGAAGGCCATCGGGGGTCTGCATGTGGTGGGTCTGAGGAGGATATGGCCAAAAATTTTTTAAGTGTAAGTGTGTTGGCGTCTTTTGGTGCCTGGACAATAAAAAGTTACCAGACTTTTGATGACTCAAGGCAATCTAGATCTAAATAATATATTTGCAGATTTTTTTCATACGCTATAAATGAAAACAAAAAGGATCAACATAAAATCAAGTGTCACGAAACGTCATGCGAGTATGATGCCGTAAATGACGTCATATACAATCATGTTTGTGGTAAATGATAAACCATTCGTTTAGTATTTGTTACTTCTATTTATGCATATTAGTATTCTCTACGATGTCTTAGGATTTTCAACACATCCACTTACTATGATCATCAAAATGTGTACATCTAGAAAATGAAAGCGTTTGAAAAACTTACAGAGGTTGTATAATCTGTAATACTTTGAGTCCTTTAAAGTCAGGCAAGTTACTACTTTTCTGACGGTATGGTCTTTCAGAAGTTGTTTTTTATTCCCTTCAACGACTTGCACATAACGAAGGGTGATTTCTAGAAAGAGCGTTTAGTAGTCATAATTGTTTAGGTGAATCAGGCAATGATTAATGTAAGATTAAATTAAAAATAGGATAGCCAAAATCAAAACCAGAAACTATCACAAATAAGCGACACAGACTAAAAACGAATTACTATTTTAACCGAGATGGGAACCCAAGCGTTCTTGATGCAAATGCAATGTTATTCCCTACCCCATTAATATAATATAGCATCATTTAAATACATAAGTTACTACTACTTTAAACTTATATTGTTCTCATAAAAATATCCTTCGTTAATAACTATACGATTTATTTATAAAGTATAACATTTAAGTACTGATGTAACAAGATCAAATGAAGGATAAACTTAGGGTTATTGCTTGATAAATAAACTGACGCAGCATCAGACCACAATAAAGCATGACAAGTAAATAAATTGATGACTGATTCTACAGGTATGTCGGGCTCATGCAGCGTTCGAGTCTGCTGGCGCAAGTTACCGACCTTCCGGGCCGCAAGCACCGCATTAGCTCAACTTCACGAGGGTGCGGCGCTTGTACGTCTAGTACACGGGAGTCGACGACCGGCTCGATTAAGGCCTGCAAGACCTGAGCTCAAGCGACCCAACAAGACTGATTTGGTCTACCTTGATGACAGTCCTGACTACTGTGAGCGTAATCTTACGTAAGTACAATAAAATCTACAATGACCTCTTGAATGTCTTTATTATTCATGGTATTCTTGTTGTTACAAACAGAGCTTTAACCGATCATCATTTTATCGTTATGATTTGGATCTCCCGAACCAGATTTGTGTATTAGGATCGAACTCGTTTGACAAACAGTCCCTAGAAAATTAATAATGCTTCTAAATGGACTGATCGTGAACTAAATAAAATAAAGTGTTCCTGGGTCACCTAATTTCAATTTCCAAATTTAAAAAAATGACGACGTCACTCTACAAAAACAATTAAGTTCCAATTTACTTTAGAGAAGATTGATAAGGTTGAAAATTGAAAAGTTTGTACATATTGTGAAAGGTACAAAAAATATTTACAAAAAGTCTGGAGTAAATTTAGTACCGAGTAGATGCGATATTAATTTATATTTTATATTTCTTCTTATATCATACAGTGATTCAAGAGTTTCTGTCCATAACCCCTCGTCTACTTCTACCCCACAAAGAAAAATTTTTCTTTCATTTCCTGTAAAATTACTCCAATAAAATTTTGGTTTAGCCTTCCTTGGCCCCCTTCACACTTCTCTCGCCCCCGTATCTACCCTCAAAATAAGGTAAAACTCTTTCGATTTCTCCGTTATTTTAATTGGGTTAAATATTAGTTTGTCCCCTTCAAACACCCCTCCGGTCTGATCCTTTTATTATAAGCTAATTAGTTTAATTTGTCTGTAATTAAATGGGGTTAAATTTTTTAAATGACCCCCTATGGTCCCTCCTCATTTTTGTAATACCTCTTGGCCTTTCTTTAAGCGTTACTCATTTTTATGACACCCTTTGGCCCCTCTCAGCTCCCCCTAATTTTTGTTATACTTAATGGCCCCATGATCCCCCCCTAATTTATATTATACTCTTGGCTCCACTAAGCCCCCCTCAGCTCCCCATAATTTTTATAAAACTTAATGACCCCATGATCCCCCTCCCCTAATTTATATTTTACTTTTGGCTCCACTTAGCCCCTCTCAATATTAGGTAAAACTATTTTAGTTTGTCTATTACGTTATTTGGCAAAATTTTCAACTCACCCCCCCCCCCCTTTATCAAACGCACGCTTTTTTCAGCTATTATGGGGTAGCATTCTTTTCTTACTATCAAAAATAAAGTCTGATGGATCAAAAATATGAACATACTAAATGTAGGTATTAAGGGAAGCAATTAGATCACTCATGCGGAAACGTGATCGTTTAATCTGTTCACAGGTTAGGTATTCCAGGTACGCGCGGTCGAGTGTGCAACCGCACGAGTCTAGGACTGGATGGTTGTCGACTGCTTTGCTGCGGCCGGGGTTACCAAACTCGCGTGCGCGACGTCATCGAGAAGTGCAACTGTCGCTTTGTCTGGTGCTGTGACGTCAAGTGCGAGATGTGCCGGCATACGCGTGAGGAGCACGTCTGCAATTAAATGAGTTAAATAATAGGTGGTGTCACCTGGTCTAAAGCGATCTTAACTAATGTAAACTTGGAGGCCACGGTACCATCACCACCTGGCTAGCTAATGTGAATGTCTAGTATATTCCTATATCCTTATGCGACCGGGAGCGGAACACAGTGTCAGAGCCACAAATTTCAATCACTGCCATGCTAAGTAAACGTAACGTGCCAGCTTACTCTTATAGGTTCTAATACACACATTTATCTTCAAGCCAACCATCAGAAATGCGAAACTAATTTTTGTTGTTTTTGAAGTCTCTGAAGTATTTTTTATTTTTTTATCTCTGGATGTTTCGATTCTTTACTTTTTATTTTTTAAACATATCATAGCCGACTTTATAAATATTGAGAGTTTAGACCGAGCAAATTTGGCGTCAAGCTTTTCAAATGACTGAATTTCGGCTCTTGCAAATTGAGCAAATAATAACAAATTTACATCAATTACGCTTACTCAAGATGTCAAAAATGCTAAAAACACAGCGCTCATACAACCGCGTCGACACTGACACAAATATAACAATCAAAAACGAGATGTTTTGGAAAACAAATAAGTAAATACAACACATCATCATATGCCAATGAAATGTATATATTAAAATTTTTTTACTTTCTCAATGTACTTATATATGTATATGTATATCGTAGTCGTGTATATATTTATAGATTTGCGTAAATTCAATGCTACAAGTGCTTGGTAATTTAGTGTCGATACTGTCGGCACCAGGAGCTCTTCCGTGGTACACACAACCATATAAATTAGATCATATGCATAAATTATTAAATAAAATATTTAATCATCTTATAAACATGTACCTTTAGCTTCTTGCATATATTACTAAAAGCTTACAATATGTATATTATTATATATATTTATTTCACATCTATATTAACTTTAAAAAAAATTTTTTTTAACCTTGGACATTTTCTTGTACCCTTATGGAAGAAAAAAGGCATTATTTAGGGAGGGGGGGGGGCACCCGAAATATTGAATTTTCTCTTCAATTTTCAAGTAAAACTATGAATTTATATTCCAGCGACATTTATTCTGACGACAGCGACAGCTCAGTGCAACGACTATTCAGTATTTCGATAACTAAATACGAGGCAGTTCATTTTGACTTTCCATTTATGCTGCTGACTGTCGGTATTCCGCACCCCTCCCTTCATTATTTATTATCCGCCACTGGTGCGCTCCAGAGATGAAATCTATTTTTTTTTTTTTTTTTTTTTTAACGCCTATGAATTGGGATTAATTTTTGCTGTTACTTTATTTATATGCATGAATTAGCTTGCAAAAGAATCATGAACGTGCAAAAAAATACCTTTCATTACATGCTTTTATTTAACTCGTCTACCTGTCTGAATATTCATGGTGGGGTAGCCAGAATTTTGTAATCACTTGTATTCACTTCTAGATTGTTTGAACTAAAAATATTGTTTTTTTATGATGGCTGAACATAAAATATAATGTAAATGCATTACAAAAAATTATACTTCCATGTCATTTTTGCAATTAAATAATGACATATTCTTAAGCTTAATCTGATAAGGCCATTAAAATTTGTCTGCCTATGTCGATATCGCGTCTTACCATATTTGTTTCTCTCAAAGAAATTTTGTAGGCTAAAAACTCTGGTTGGAAGTCAAACATAGCATGGACTGTTGAGCTCAACTGTAGATCAGAATTATATATTAAAACTTGAAATGAAAAAATTGTTCCAAAAACTAAAAAAAAAAAAAAAGGTTTTTTTAACGAGCTTAAAAAAAAAACAATAAGATTTTAATCATACACAGAATTAATTAAAACAGGAGTCGCTAAGCTTTTATTCACAGCTATAAAGATGTATAGTATCGAAAGTTTAAATCAATTGATTAGCAAAATGATGATTGATTTGCTTCGTTCTAATGAACAATAAGTACACAGCGCTTTGAGTACTTTAGATAAAGATGCAAGTACCTAAATACACATATTTATGATTATGAAGCTTCCCAAACAGTTCTAATCGGTATGGGCAAACAAATCTACTCATTGTGTAGATTTATTTGATTTTTTCTATCAAATAATTGTATATTTTTTAATAAAAACAATACACTCTGCGAGAAAAAATTTTGCTCTCTCTGTTACTTGGCTGACTACAGCGAGTGTTGCTTTTTTTACTTGGAAGGACCAAGTGTTGCTTGTTTTCTTTGAAGTGTAGCAAGTGTTTTGTCGATGGGTAGCAAATTTTGCTTCTTTTCTTCTCAATCATCAATACGTACGCTTTGACACTTCACCCAAATCAAGAGTGACAGACCGTTGCTTGTGGAGTGGGGTATGATTGGTTACTTCTGAGTTAATTATGGTATATAAAATGCAAGATTTTTAAGTGCCATAAGTAACAAGCTTTCAAGTCGATTAAGAATATTTTGTCCTATTGTATAAAGTCAATGTACTCCTTTGGAATTTAAAAAAATCGTAATCCCCCTTGTAAAACAGCTGATAATAAACAAGTTTTTTTTGCCAGTTAGGCAAGAATAAATTACAATTTTTCTAATATAAACTACCAAAATTGTTAAAAAAAATTATCGAGCAATGCTGTTAAATACGGGGAATATAGTGAAACATAACCTAAAATATTTGATGCCCCCCCCCCCCCCCTCATTGGAACGCGCTCAACTCAACCTATATCAATTACGATGATCAAAAATACTTGAAAAATCACCATATATTTAATACTAGGATTAATATTGATTTTTTGAAAAAATTATATTAAAAAAAATTGACAAAAACCATTCTTAAGATGTACCTTTACGGAAGATCGACCGTTTTTAAATTACAAGACTAATCATTTGAAGTGAACAAAGCAAACAATAATTTCTAAGAAAATCGAATGAAGTAGTCCTTAAGGTAGATTAGGTACTTCAAAAATACCTGGAAAAAGTCGATGAAACTCAGAGATTATGTTATGATAAAATATGTCAAATTCAGACCTCAAATAATAAAATTTATGTACAAATTGTTTTTTATAAAAAATTTATTACTGAGAAAAGTGTCAAAGCCAAAAATATTGACGACCAAGATTTTTTTTAAGTCAAGAAAAAAGTGATCTAGAAACTCCCTCGTATGCAAAGATGTTAATAACATTATAAGAAACGCTAATAATCGATTTTGACAATATTTTACGACTATTGAAGTGATTATAATACGTCGAATTGAGGATGTGACTAGGAGAAATAATTTTTGAGAGATTAACGCTACTTATTGAAAAAAATGTATATGCCTCTTAAATAATGCGCAATCAAGGCATTTTAACTGTGCCATTTTCTGTTTTGACACGTTTTTGTAGAAAAATAAAGATTAACGCTGCAGATGGGCCATTTTTGAGTAGTTCGATATAAAAATTAGAAAACTAGAACAAAAACTCGTGAAATGTCCAAAAACTGATTGAAACTTAATTCACTACTCCCTTGAGTGTTCGAGTGATGGGAAGGGAGCTGACAAAGACGTTTGCCACAATTATTGCTGTTTATTTCATTTTAAAGAAATTCAACTACTTAAAAATCAGTTGATATTTTTGTAAATTTTAACCCAACTTTGTGCATTTTGAAAGTTTTTCAATTCATTTTTAATACTGAATCATCGAAAAATGGCCGTCTTGAACTTGTCACCAACTTAAAGCATCTAATTCTAACTTCCCTAAAAACTATTGTTAAAAAACAAGAAAATTAACCATGAATTCGTTTGGATAAAATGTAACTTTTTTCAATTTTCCTAAACATCTTCTCATATCAAAGTAGCCAATCAATTTTTTCTATACCTATAGCAACTCCGGTATTTAAAAAATAATAAATTTTTTTTTTGTATACATCCCCTTTTCAATAACTGAAATACTGCCGACGTCCGTTGAAACAAATGCTTCAAATGAGTTGAAAAATTATACATATAATATAATAGACATCAGACACTTAGGGGTAATGCATTTCATGGCGTTTTATCATTTTTACTCAGAATTATATTAATTTTGCTTGCTCAAGATTTCCAACCATCTCCTGGCCTGCTGTAAAAAATAGCGAAAAGGAATAATTTTTTCTAAAATTTTCTACAGTTTTTCGCATTTTCATGGATTTTTTCACAATCAGTGATTAACCCATATCAATATGACGCAAACAATTTAGAAAATATAATTTATAGAGATGCTTGAGAAAACAACCTGATTCTTTGAAGAATTGATTCGTCAAAGTCTTAATTTTTATCATTTAAGTTTGCTACCCTACCAATCTGTATCGATACGTGACTTAAATTTAGCTCATTCAATACAATAAAGTTATTCTCTTCATGTTTGTATTAGGGCTTTTTTGAAGGAGAATTTTTTTTATACTTCAAATAATTGTTGAAATAAACTTAAATTGTCTAAAAATCATTCAATAATGAGGGAAAAAATGAAAAATCAGCTTCTGAACATGTAAAGAGGGAAAGAATGGCAAAAGAAATCTTGAGGTACATATAAAATATCATCTTTCAATCCAAATATCGAGTACATAATAAGTAGAACCAAGTTTTTCTTTAAGGCTTGTGGGATCTTAGAATAGGGTATTCTATATAATTGTGCTATCGAAGTAAAGTTTTTAGGGTTGAATTTTGTCAACAAATTGAAAATATTGTTTTTTTGACAAACAAAAAATTTTTTCTGGTTCTTTGGCTCATTTCGATTAAAAATTATGCACAATTTATACTAATAATATAAACTCTTTTCTCCAAAAAAAATCATTAAGTCTTAGCAAACACGTTTTTTAAATGTTTTTCATTTCTAATGACATAAAGCTTGGTTTATTGATTTGAACTCTAAACCTTTTAAATTAACAAAAAACATCGTACTTCAATGTACTTTAATAATATACCTATGAACTTTTGCTTATTATTGTATGTTATTTTTATCCAACTAGCTTGACAATCATAAGTATGCCCTTTTATTGGGATCGTGTAAGCTCTTTGCAACATAATACATCTTTGCACAAAAGTTTGGTCACCTAGACGGACCCACCAAGATTATGTAAATGTATTTTGGTTAGCTGAACATGATTTTTGATGGTGGGTTGCTGTCTTAGTGATAAGTTTTATGGTCTATTTTGGACAAAAAGTTTTATTTGAAGGATTTTTGTAAAATATATACTAAACTAAAAAAAATCGCCAAATTCTCAAAAGTGCGTTTTTACAATTTTTGATATCTTTGGTATTTTATAAATATAAATTTTTTAAAATTAATTTTTTTCTCAGTGATCACAACATTCCAAATTTTTGACATCGTATGATATTAGGATATAATTGTTTAGTTTCCGCTCGTATACAGAAACAAGAGGTTTTCAGTTTAAATTAGTTAATCGAGCTTCATGTTACAAGGGGTCAACAACCGTATGAATGAATTTTCCAAAACTTTGCGGGTTTTTTTTTTTTAAAACATTTTTGTTACACTGACAGTAACAGTTCTTACGAAACCATTATGGACATTAAAATTTTTCACTTCACCGCTCAATAATTTGATTACTGAATTTACAATAATCCACCACTAAAAGCGCTATTACTTCTAGACAGCATATTATAAATGGCGTTCTTACTTCAAGCAAACTAAAGATTTTGTTAATTTTTGTATAGTTATTGTTTCAAGAAAGTTCATTATTATTTATATTCCACATTATTGTACTTTGAAGTTGCAAATATAAATTACAAAATATTACAAACAAACGAAAAAAAAATTAATAATTAAGGTAGCGCTTATCTCGTCCGATCAACAGATAATCGTGATATCTATAACAATTGTAACAGTAGTATAATTAATTAAAAACATTAATCTTTATTAGCCATAGATGTATAATAAGACACTCAAATAAAACTGCCAAATGCGACACGAGTGCTATGATTTGGTCTTATTTAGGTAAGATAAAATAAAATTGAAGAATGGGTGAGTGTCCATTAGCAAATATATTTATAAATGTATTTGAAGAAAAAGAATGAAAACGACTGTCTCTAGCTCCACGTTTACAGGTATAATGAAGTACTTACTCAAGCTCGAGAGTCAGTCAGAACGTCCGAACGAGCGAGTACTCGACAATGTTGTGACTATTGATACAAAAGCGCAGTATTCAAAAATTGTAATTTATTTTCCCCATTAAAAAATCGTAATATATAAATATATACATATACATATAATATAGATAGATTTATATTTGCGTACATAGATTTATAGTATTGCAATCAAAATTTTTTTTATCGTTATAAAAAACTAAGCTATCTGTAAAAATGCTCGAATTAGTTTTTGGTAAGAGCATAATTATTAGTATTTATGTGTATGCATGCATTGTATACCTATATACATGTGTTTATAAATACTTCTTGTGAAAAAGCACACATTTGTTTATTTATTCATTCGCCCCATTTAAACATAACTATGTAAGTCAGTTGTTAGCTGTTACATGCTGTACAAAAAATGTCTTTTATTTTACAGGCACATTTATAAGCCTTATTAATAATTGAGATATAATAGGTAAGAGAATAGTCCGTTTGACTCTTTTGATCTCAAAATACTAAGGAGCAAAACCTGTGTCTTAAACTAATAAACCTTTGGCAATGGTTTGTTTTTTAATATTGATGAAGTTTACAAGGCATCTGCAAAATCTCATTGATAAATGAAAAGTAATATTTTTATAACTAATGACTTCTTACATGATCAAGAATTAAAAAAAGACCGTCAATGAGAACACGTAAAAGTCACACGAGTAAAATTAGGGTGAAAATAAAAAATAATTTAGAGAGAATAGAATGGAAAATAGGATCTTATGAATTTCAAATTACTTTTTATGTTTTTTTTTGTGGTCAAATTTTTTCTTACTGATGTCTCTAAATTGAATACTGAAGTAAAATAGAACGCTGAGCATAATGGCAAAAAAGAATCCCAAAAGAGCTCCAATAATGACTTGGAGAGTCTCATTGTACGTTGACACTTTTTTTGGCAGCAAAAGATTTTTACTTTCGCCATAATGACGAGCTGTGTAGCCCAACCAGAACTGGATGCGATCCATGGCATGACTGGAGCGGTCACGTATAGCTTGCGATGCAGAACGAGCATTTTCACGATAATGAGTGCTTTGATGAATTTCCTTGACGACATTGGCAACGTTATCTGATACCACACTGGATTCAAAAATATATCCAAATCCCAGCTGATGTGCCCTTAAAGCATTGCGCTGTTCGTCTAGTTTACGAGGGAAGCAGACCATTGGTGTACCATGGAATGCACTTTCGAGAAATTCCGAGTCTGTACAATGGCATAGAACTAATCTGGTACGTGGGTAACCTGAGAGGCAACAGTTACATTATTTTCAAAAGAAAATTTTTTTACAGAACTTGTTTTATGAGGTTGAAAGTAATCAAACGTATAATAATCACCTATGATATCCTGTCGATCCACGTTCCTGTGAATGAAAAGATTGCTTGGTTTGTCTTTGTCCGATTTCGTATTCTTATTCTTCCACATCACAGCCAGTCCTTGCCTATTATTTGGTAGTTTTTGGGCAAGATCATAAACTAATGCCTCATAATTTTCATCCAGGAGCACAGCAATTGTACCAGTTCTAAATTCAATCAATTCCTTTTGAAGATCAGCAGGTAGTGGTTGGGGTCCTCTGCAATGATGGCAGCCAATCTGTAAAAATGGTTTTCAAAATATTGAGTCAGAAATTTTACCTGGTAATTAAATAACCCTAGGATGAGCACATACTTCAGCCACCAATTGAGTCAAGGGTGAATAATTATTCCTCAAAATTGGATCTGCACCCCACAAGACGAGTTGCACGTTTGAGTAGAGATTAGACAGTGGAATAGTGGCCTGAGATAATTTTTCGAGCAACATTTTCTGAGTAGGCACCACGTATTTGTTTTCTATGTTGTACACAAAAAATCTCAAATTGAGACTTTCAATGAAACTTTGTACAAAATTGAGCTCGTGAACCGGTAAAGCCATTCCTGTTTTGGTAAATGCGTAAAATTCTTCATAGTGGCCACGAGCCCAAATCACAGGAATCGAGTGTATGGAAAGCGTCCAGGGTAGCAAACAAGCATCGTGCCTGCAAGATTAAAACATCTAGTTCAGGCTAGAGATAACAACTTGTTACTTATAGTGCAATCAAAAACAAGTTTAAGTATACTTGATCTCAAACATTAGCTTACTTAACAATTATCTCAGACAATATTACCTGACTCCTGGAAAGATGACAAAGGTGGGCTGCATCTTCTGAGCATACTGCATCACATTGATGTCAGAAATGAAACTATCGCAGAGCTTCACAGCTCGATCATCGTCATCACCGGCTCCCAAGCTGGTATTATTGATACTTATCAGCTCAACGCCGTTGAGATTTTCATAGCGCTCGTAGCTAGCACCAGACGAGGATACAACAAGTGTGGTCTCGATGCCGAGACCTGAGATTGTGTTGGCCAGTAGGGACAAGTCGTAGACATCTTCAAAGGCGACGATCAGCGCCAACTGCGGGGGTGTGAGCAGAGAGGAGGCCACGCTGTTGTGCAGGAGTTGCAAGAGCAAGGCTGCGCCAAGAAGGCTCCGGACAAGGTACAACATGCTGTTCAGTATAAAGTATAAAAATATATCATGGAACCTTTACTGTTTAAAAATTAGTTTTATTACGTAGGTATTTCGTATTTTGTTAGTAAGTACCTAAAAAATGCTTTTAAAATGCAAAAGAAAGAGAAATTCCATTACAAATCAGACCAAGTATTTACAACACAGTCGGCCCTGTTAATAAAAGTAAGTAGTTCCCTTGTGCACGCATGATAGGAGCTAAGAGGCCAAAAAAACAGTGCGCGCTTCAGTTCGTACTCACTAATTTGATATCATGTTAAAATGATACAAAAGGACAGAGACAAACTTAGGAATTTTAAAACTCAAGCACCGCAGTCTTATACTTACATAAATTAATTTTTAAAATTCACAACACAGCCAAAAACTGAAGTAACAGATTAGATCGCGATCGTGTCTTATGTCTCATCGTTCTTCGTAGTACCAAATCACCGGCGTAATTTTTTTCCACCAATGCGCTGCAGCTGCAGAAATAAACATTGCAGGAGAAAAACAGTGCATTGCATGTTGACATAATATACCTATAGGTATTATCTTTTCGGAGCTGCCACAGAACTACCGCGAAAGGATCTGCGGTCGCGCGTGGCAAGATAAAAAACACACACATAAACAAGGTAAGTTGAAAACGTTATATGGATGATTCCACCATAACTGACTTATGTTTTGCACCCGTAAACCAGAGAAAAACCGATAACATTCGAAAATAAATGTTTATAAGTATATATTTTTTTTATCGTAACCAATATATATGTATCATATGATTCATCATAAGTAAAAAACACAACAAATATACGTCTGATCATGGGGATGGCAACACCAAAACGGACGGACTAAAGTGTTTTCTACAAAGTTTTAATAAAAATAATTAACTAATTTTTTTTTCAATTTGCAAGTAAAAATTGTAAAATACTTCAGTCCCACCGTTTTGGTGTTGCCATCCCGATAGTAGGACATTGTTATATGTTCAATCGTGTCCTGGTTACAATAAAAAAATGAAACATTTATTTTCAAAGGTTTTTATCTGATTTTACGGGTGCTAAAACCTATTAGATTTATAGCTCTGGTTTCTATTGGACATCTTTAATAGGAAAGAAATGTTTTGATGGTCAAATTTACAGAAAAGAGCGTCGAAAAATCCTTTGCCTTTTACAAAATGTGTAAAATTTTTATAGTCAGGTTTTTTAAAACGATTTTTAAAGTCATTTTGAGCCAGTTCCGGCGGAATCTTTCATGTATTCATTATATATAATAACACTTGTAGTTATAAGATAAGTAGCGAGATGAGAGATGATGATGTTCTGACATTCATCTACACTCCGTAATTCTCCTTGAAAGTTTGCCTATTTTATTGCAATGTCCAGTCTGATGTTGCCTATTTAACTTATCGTAGAAATTAAGTAGGTCCACAAGATTTTAATACATTAAATTCGATGATACAAACACTATTGGCAATAATGGCAATTAGTTTAGAAAAAAAGCTTTCATTCTCACTATATTTACATAGTTTAGATCAGCTGATTTGTTTAGTTTTACCTACCTTCACCTCACCTTTCGGCCTGCTATATCCTCAATTCCTCACCTCATTGCAGCTCATTGCGTGGTGTAAAGTGTGTATAAACCCTCCAAAAAGTTGACTCTGCTTCTGACAAAAAGTATTTGTTTACAGCGAAATAATATAATACCAAGTAATTAACAATCTTTATGTACTTCTCTAGATTATTAAATTAATTCCTTATAAAAGTACAGCTCTACGAATAGAGCACGTTCAATACTAAATAAATAAATTTTTTTAACCTCAAAATAAGGGGCTTAATAACATAAATAATACACATTCATTGATTTTTAGTGTTAGTGTTAATAGTTGCTAGTTTTACATAGTACTTCCAGGATTGCTTTTCGTAATCAGTCAAACAAGCAAAAATGGCTTTCAACCTAGGGGGTGGCACACCAGCAAACACAGCAACGACAGGCTTCAGTTTGCTAAACAATCCCGCCAACACTACGTCAAACTTCAATCTGAGCACAACAACTGCCACAACTGCAAGTGGATTCAATTTGGGTGGTGCACCATCCACTGGAACCACTGGATTCAGCCTGGGAGGCTCCTCAGCTCCTGCAAGCACTGGTTTTAATTTGGGAGGTGTACCTGCAGCCACAGCTAGCACAGGATTTAGTTTTGGAACTCCCTCTACAGCTGCCACATCTAGTACAACACCTAGTTTGGGTGTTGCTGCAGCTTCAGGAACTCCAGCCAGCACTGGATTCAATCTTGGAGGCTCCACAGCAGTAGGAACAACTAGCTTTAGTCTAGGTGGTACTGCTCCAGCAAACACTGCTGCTTCTTTACTTACTTTAGGCAAAACCACTTCTACATCGACTCCCACTATTGCTTCTGCAATCAGTCAACCTCAAACTTCTTTGGGCGCCACCACAACGTAAGTACTGTGTGCGCTTCCATTAGCAATTTAGTATGCATGTTACTGTAATGTTATTCAACTTTTGGATCTCTGGTAATCTAACAGAATTTCAATAAATATTCCGTATTAGATAGGTACTCTCTGCTTAACGACAAATTTTTGTTTTCAACAGTGTCAGTACTTCTTCGGCCAGTAAGCCATCAGGCGCAATAAACTTTTGTCAATTGGAAGAATGTATAAATAAATGGACACTTGAATTGGAAGAGCAAGAAAAAGTTTTTGTTAATCAAGCGACGCAAATTAATGCTTGGGATAGACTACTCATAGCCAATGGAGAAAAAATTATCACCTTAAATCAAGAAGTGGAAAGAGTCAAATTGGAGCAACAACAACTTGAGCATGAGCTTGATTATGTGGTCAATAATAATTTTTTTTACTCCATGAAAATGTTTTTTTTTTTCCATAATCACGAAAAAATCTAATCATTTAAAATAACGTTTACAAATTTTAGGTTGGCCAGCAAAAAGAACTACAAGATTGTTTGGTGCCTCTTGAAAAAGAACTTTCGACTCTATCAGTAACAGATCCAGAGCGAGAATACACGTACCGTTTAGCAGAAAATATTGATACACAGTTAAAACAAATGTCTGAGGACCTCAAGGAGATCATAGAACACCTGAATGAGGCAAATCGTGCACAAGACTCCAGTGATCCAATAGTTCAAATCGTAAAAATTCTAAATGCACACATGAATAGTTTACAGTGGCTGGTTCAAAGAACAAATTTATTGAGTTCGAAAATACAGCAAGTCGATCAGATGCATCAAAGCTTTAGGCAGGAAAATGAAAGGACCTTCAGTTTAGCCTATAATTAAACATTTCCATCAGTAATATTTAAATTGAAGTTCTGTATTTTTGAAAGAAAAAAATATTGTTCTTGTACAATTACTATTATTTTTTAATTGAGAGTCCGTTGATATTTTTAATAAAATTTATTGTAAGGAGGTTTCTACTTTTCTACTTGCAACACAAAATTAACGTTATACAATAAAAAAATTTTTATAGAGTAACAGTATCGTAATAAATATGTGTGACACACGATTCATTGACACTCCATAGCTTTTATTTATTTGTAACCGAATGAATGAAAAATGTTAACATTATTAGTCCGACATAGAAACTTATTACTAGTTGTACAGACATACTTTGTACTGAATTATCTTTTGTTGTAGTCTAAAAAATATAAAAATTTTATCTTAAGTGGTAAAATCAAATTTAAGTATGCATGAAAGTCAAAATCTCCACTAAATAACTAAGCAACGTCCATAGCTTGTTCTTTGTCTTTACCCTTTCCTGCTGCATTAAATACAAACAAATCAGCTTCCTGATCTTCCAAATACTGAGAAGACCTAGATTCGTCAATGAAGAGCACATAAGCGCGTTTGACGTCCTCTACACCCACTTCCATTTTTTTATTTTTACGGCATATAATGGAAGAAGTAGTGATTAACTGAATAGCGTATCGTAACGACGTGTCCATGGCAACACGCGTAAGGATCGTCAGAGCATCGCTGGACATCTCACAGTCTTCCTCTTCGCACCTGATCTTTAGGATCTCTTTGACTTCATCTTCGCTGTACGCGACGGTGGGAACAATGATCATGCGATCGAGCAGGTCGATTGGAATGCCATGTGGGCTTTCGTAGTTTGTGCCTCGTATTTTGGTGATGCCTCTGTTTGTAGCCATGATAACGACAGGTGCCATTTCATTTTCCAGAGCGCGGTTGAGAAATGAAAAACATTCTATGTCCAACATGTGCACCTCGTCAATGAAAAGCACTCCAGGTACGATCTCAGCCTTGCCCTCCTCTCGCCACTCGGCCACTTTGGCATTTATCTGTTCCCTAACTTCTGTCTTGATCTCTCCGGTGTCTCCAGAGAACAGGGCTAGAAAACCGTGAGTCCTGCTGTTGATAACATCTACCTCGTGGAGAGTCACGGTATGGACTACTTCCTTCCGTTTCTGCAGCTCCCCTTCGGGACATTGGACAAAACGAGTCTGCGGCCCGGTCGCATCGTAATCGCGAGCCCTCGTGAACGAGCGCCCCAACTTGTTGATTTTTCCAGTGGCCTTGTCTATCGTTACAACATCCCCAGCTTGGACCTTCTCTTTGATCAGACACTCGATCATTTTGTTTCCCAAGTCATAGATCGTCTCCATCTCTGTCGTTTTCAATGTTAGCTTGCCAACCTTGGCTCCCACTCCAGTTACTGGTCTATCAACTTGGATTTCTACGACCTCGCCTTCAATGATCTCAGTTTCTTCTTTGATTCTGATGCCTATTGATTTTCTTATAGCCTGAGTCAGGGCTTCAGTTTTGCTCATTTCAAGCGAGTAAATTTCAGAGCCAGCCATCAGCGTAAATGGAGTATCTGTGCCTAGAGACTGGGCCAATCCCAAGGCTATTGCAGTTTTCCCAGTTCCTGGATGTCCAGCCAACAGTATGGCTCTGCCGGCTATCTTGGCTTGCTTGATCATTTCTAATATAATACCAGTGGCACGTCTTGCTTTGGTTTGACCGACCAATCCTTGTGAAACATTTCGAGCCTCGAGACTGTCATCAAGGCCTAGGCCACGTATGTGTGAGTGTGCACCTATTCGCTCGATCCTCGTTATTTCTCTGACTTCATGAACCTTGGACGCTGCAATCGACATCTTTTCGTACCTATTGATAAAGATGAAAAGTTGTGGTTAATACTCACTCAATCACAATGTAGTTTTCTAGCAATTTATGAAGCAAAATATGGAATACGTCAAGCTTGCGATTTTATGCCTGTAATATCTATATAGGAAATGCTTAATTACTACACAGATACTCAAAATTCCAACTACTGTTTGGTCAGGATTAGTTTTACATTTATGTTAATTCTAAAGCATATATGCTTGCCAATATATATTGATTCAAAACAACTACAATACTAAAAAAAAAAAAAAATACTTACAGAGAGTAAAAGATCTTTAACTCAAAAAATTGTTAAGTTTTCACGTAGTGCATGTGTATTAATGACGCCTTCGCGGTTGCCCGGTTTCCGTCTAAACAATATTATAACCTTACTCTTCATGCAATGCTGCAATTTGACTTCAATACCACATTCCCGGCATTAAGGAATAAAACATACTAAAGCCTCATTCACGAGCTTGAAATGATATATAAAACTCATAGAGCTCGCGCGTGGATAGCGAACTTGTGGATCTGATTAATTGGGATTGGCCCCATAGCACTAGCGCCACTGCCCTAGGTTAATTTCCATAAAGTGGTGAGTTTCAAAAACGGTGAGAGAAGGCTCATGGGGTGTGTTCCAGTTACTCTCTCCGACAACTTAATTATGTCTTACGATATCTTGCGTCATGTTTAAGTTGTCGATAAGTTGTCGGAGAGCGCTACTGGAACACACGGATAACTGTCAGCGCCACCAGCTTTTCTATAAATGCTTACACGTACACGTTGTGGCGTAATTCCAAAGTTTCGAGAGAAGGCTCTCAAGGGCCGATCCCAATTTTTCCCATATCACCAAGAGAGAGAGAGAGAGAGAGCTGAGGCCTGAGGGTGTATTTTCATTCTAGTTAATGAGGGTATTTTGAAGTAGTGCCATGTAGTCAATTTTATAAACCAGCCGCAATAGAGACCAAGATATGAAATGATACTGGATAAAACAGATTAATAAGACTTTATAAAAATCATAGTTGCAGTAATTTTCAGATTGAATTAAGTGGGGAAAATGACCTTTCCGCACCACTCATCTAACGCTAATCTTATCTAAAAATTCATTATTTATAATCTTACACGCCGTGGATTGCCGAATTTTGGCTTACGAACGAACCTATTATCTATTATACCCACTTCGTTATAAGTAAATTGTACGTGGTTTGAAAAGCGCTCTGACCTTAGAGCATATACATGTATATACATATGTATATGCTCTAAGCCAGAGATTAGTTGGTCACCAACTAATCTCTGTCTAAGCTTACATCGTGGGTTCCAAATTCCGAGCAAAAGTCTCGAACGAATGTAGTGAACAAGTACCTAATTGTTTACCTTTTAGTATTCTCCTCTGACTTTGACACGTACGTAATTGGTTAATAATGTTACCGTTTTATGGCTGTTTATAAAGAATAATTTTTTTCATTTATTGTTAATGTAAAACAAATCTTTTAATTTAAAAACTATGATTCGAAAAAGAAATATAAGTTTTAAGGCTGTGAAAGAATTAGATGCATTCCCTAAAATAGCCGAAGATTACAGAAAGCAGTCAGTTGTTGGTGGTACATGTAAGCAGCAATCTGTTTCTTTATATGTAGCTTTATTTACTTTTGATTTCAAGCTTGAGCAGTATCATTGTTACTGTACACCTAATATCATTTATAATCTTATATTTTAGTTTCCATAGCGAGTGTCTGTATCATAGTTTATCTGATATATTCAGAGACAGCCTACTTCTTGGATAGTAAACTGCTATTCAAATTTGAACCGGACACTGACTATGATAACCGATTGCAAATGAATATAGATTTAACTATCGCAATGCCATGTAGTCGTGTTGGTGCTGATGTTCTGGATTCTACAAATCAAAATTTAATTACTAGAGACACCCTTAAAGAAGAAGACACATGGTGGAATTTGACACCAGATCAGCGAGCTCACTTTGAAGCTCTTAAACACATGAATTCTTATCTTAGAGAAGAATATCATGCAGTCCATGAACTTTTATGGAAGTCTAACCGACCGACTTTTTACAGTGAAATGCCAAAGAGGTATAGATTGAATAAGCATTATACGAAAATCTTATAAGTAATATCTAGTATTTTTAATTAACATTTAAATATTTTAACACATATTTGCTTCACAGACATGACATACCAAGTTATGCACCAAATGCATGCCGTATTTATGGGAGCTTAGATATAAATAAGGTGGCAGGAAACTTCCACGTTACTTCTGGCAAGTCACTCAATCTTCCCAGAGGTCATATTCATATTTCTGCATTTCTATCTGACCATGATTATAATTTTACACATAGAATAAACCGTTTCTCTTTTGGCAAGCCTAGTCCAGGAATAGTTCATCCATTAGAAGGTGATGAAAAAATTACCAATGACAGTAAGTTCAAATTCATATTTAGTATTTTAACATCATTACAGAAACTAATCTAATATCACTCCTTCGTAAATATTTTTTTCAGATATGATGTTATTTCAATATTTTATTGAAGTTGTCTCTACTGATATAAATATGCTGATGCACAAGTCAAAAACCTATCAGTACAGTGTCAAAGACTATCAGAGACCTATTAATCACGATAAAGGTTCTCATGGTATACCTGGTATATTCTTCAAGTACGATACTAGTGCATTAAAAATTAAGGTCACACAGGAACGAGAGTCCATAGGTCAATTTCTTGTAAAATTATGTGCTACTGTAGGTTGCATATTTGTAACCAATGGTTAGTAACATTAGGTGTATCATTATTTTTTTTTTTTTTTTTTTTTTAAGCTTTCGTAATTTTGAGGGCACACTTTAATTTTTCTGAATAATTTTTTTTTTTTTCAGGTATACTTAACAACTTTGTACAAATCATATGGCACGTAATTTGTTGTAAATTTTTAAACAGCGAAGAAAAAAAGTTTTATGAAAAAATAAGCATAGACAATAATGCAAAAAATGTTGTTAGTCCACCAAATTCGATAAATGTCACTACTCAAGGAAATATTGGCAGTGGAAGTAATCTTACAAAACCGTAATGTAAAAAAAAAGAGGGAAAAATCATGTTACCATATTTTTTATACTTTAAACTTTTAACATAGAGTATAAAATACATCTGAGATATACGAAAACTATTTAATTGAAGTAAAATTTTTAACGTCATAATCTTTACTAAAAAATGTAATCGTTCAATACTATAGAAAATGTCATTGCGAGATGTTTTAATTTTCAGCAGTATGATAATATCATAATATGAATTGTCAAGAACTTGAAAACTTGGAGCATGTTATGTGTTCATTGCTACAGCAATCATTTAACTTGTATCAAAGTGACCGTTATTGTGTCATTTGTGTCTGAATCTTTGGAGGACTGAATCGATTTTGTAATATGCTACTGTTTTTTACATTTTACATATATTATTGTTATATCATTGTAAGTTTTATTGAGAAGCATCCTACAAGTATTAAACAGAAAATTGTATACGTTGTTGTTTTAATTTATTAGCATAATGATACGTAACATGGCATTGAAATGATCAATATCATAGGGAGTAGTACTATCACATACATAGGTAACAGACAGTTCGTGTCAGTTCGTGATGAGAGAGTAATCTACATGGTGTTCGGTCAAAGTTCTCCGACTCCGAGTGACACAAGACTACAAGAGCACTTAATCAAGTTGTGTAGGTACATATATATATTTTTTTTTATATTATAGTGCTATACGTCCGGCTCCTTTTTAATAAGGGCACTATTATGGGCACTTAGCACTTAGGAGAAGGAAGGGAAGAGGGATAGGAGGCCTCCCATTACTGGGAGGGGGGTAGGGGGAATTAGGCATTATGCTGCGAGGAGGTCGCCTAAACCCTCCTCGAGGAGCATTGCGTGGTGAAAAAGCACATGTGAAAGTCACAGAGGTACTTGCCCGAAAAGTCGCACTGGCCGGAAATCGAACCACGGTCTCCCGCGTGCCAATCCACATCCTAGCCGACTCACCGACTGAGCCACCGCGAGCTCCTTCTATAGTGGCTCTGTTCGGAAATGATGCGTTGGTTAAGTATTAAGTTGGTACCTACCCCCACCCTGGCTTAACTAACTGACAGGGTGGGGGTAGGTACCGACCAAAAACTTAACCAACGTATCATTTCCGAACAGAGCCTAAGGCTTAGAGGATATATTCTATATTCTCTGGTGCAACTGGTGCAAGGGAAAAAAATGACATGTTATCTGTCTCACACTAATGAGTTATCCACAGTATCCACACATTATCTATATACTTAGATTAAACGGCCACTGCGTACGAAACGCATCCTATATATTAAGCTTAATTTTTTTTCTCAAAATTTGAGCGCTCTCAGAATTATTCTTTTATTTGCTAAGTTTTCTCCTTCATACTTTGTTTAATATATATTAAAGAAACAAATAAACTAGCGTTAACAAACAGACGATTGATGGAAGTGTGTGTATGTATATACACATGTGCATGTGCATGTATGTGTCACGTCTCGAGTCTCGAAGCTCGAAGGTCGAAGGTTATACAGTATTCGCTACGTGCACAATTTTGAAGCAGCGTCATCCTATAGGGAAAAACGAGAACTATTGGTCTGGCACAGCAAAAGGCAATATTAGCGATATGTGCTTGATACCTATAGGAACCAAGTACCTCGATAGATACACGAAAGGTTCGGTGTTTATTATATCACGAATTAATACAATGTCTCAAGTGGTACAATCCTATGTAAATAACTAAAGACAAAATTTGTACTACAAGCACTATAAGCGCTTGAGTATGTCCGTGTGTACTGTGTGATACGAGATATGTTTTATTAGTTTGCAATGTAGTCAACACAGACGATCAGACCTCCTCTGACCAATCAGAGAGCTCCGTTAGCCCTATACCGGCGTGTTAAGTACACAGTATGTACACACGTTCATACGATACGGTTAGAGGATCGGGCGCCATCTAAAAACTCTAAGAAATACACAGTATCCAATGTATTTTATTGCGTTTTTTAATGAACATGCCTGAGTAAAATATGTACACACTACTCATAATTTTATTAAAAATTTAATCCTTAGAATGGTTGTCGATGTATAAACACATAACTTTCTGATGATAGTAATGCTTAGCAGTCTGCTAGAAAAAAACAAACATATCATTTAGTTGCACATATTAGCACAGGTATTGCTGCGATCGCTTTTTCAGCTTGTGCACGTAGCGAATACCTATATATGTAGTACAACATCAGGGCCTGGCCATGCCCTTTTATAACCTCATTACAATACTGGCTAGGGCCTGCCCAGGGCCTGGTGTTCAGCTACGGCCGTCTAGTGGTCATTTCTTGTCGGGATACGTATGAAAATAATATGGGACGATGGGATCTTCATCTTACTCCGTTTCGGAACAGGTCAAGAGGTGCGTTGCGTAGCGCGTAGAAACACAGACATATAAGAAATTTAGACTGCTCGTTCTTATGGGCGCACTCCGTAAGCTCCAACAGTTAATCTTCAAGGATCTCGGTATCCTAGATGACATTTAAGTGCAAGGGAAAAGAATATGTTATCTCTCTCACACTAATAAGTTATCTATACATCATCTGAATACTTAGATTAAACGGTCACTGCTTACGGAACGCATCCTGTATATGCGACGCTGAAGCACAAGTACAAAGAGATACAACATCGAACATGGGTATCTATCTGTCTTGCACATTGCCAACGATGGGGAGGTTGGCAAGCATGGTCCGATGGTTCGGAGGCCATATAAAATAAGGTCCCCTTTGCCGTGGGAGGACTGTTAGTTAGGGGGCCAGGTCCGTCCCGTAACCCCGAGTATGTCCACGACTTCTGTAAGGCTATTTCGATGTCTTTCTTCCTCCTGAATCTAAATTTTTTGGTCCGAAGTCCGACAAATGGCCCGTTTTTTTGTTATAAACAATTTACATTAACAATAACAAAATAAGTTGATTATTAACAAAAAACTTTGGCACATTTTGAACAAAAATCCAATTGGAATGTATATACCTTAACCCCATACTCTGCGTAAAAAATTCTACAAGTTTGAATAAATGTGTTTTTTCACGATTTTCGATCGCGTCTTACTCAACCCGCTCAACCGCTACTGCATGTAACTTGTTCATACAGAAATTTACCCATTCCCTTTTCGATGTATTTTTGTCTCCTGAATGTACATTTGTTGGTCCAAAGTCCGAAAATAGTCACATTAATTGTTATAAACAATATCAGAATAATTGAGTTTCTGACAAACCAAAATTTTTTCAAGATTGTTTGGCTTGTTTTATGTTGAAAAAGTCTCCTGTAATTTTTTGAAAAATGTACAGTGAACTAAGAAAAATTTGTTAAGTTCAAAGAAATCGCACACCCACACGTCAGAAAATCAATTATATGTTATTGATTGACAAATGTATTTGGACTAGAATTTTTAAAAGCCTCAAAGTTGTCAATTCGTTTATAATCACTATACCTAATTTTACTTGGAACAAAACCGGCCCATTTATTTCGAGCTTTGCACAAAAATCTCCGAGCATACATGATTTTGGACATTCCACATATCATATACATATTATTGTGATTAAGAGTGCAGTGGCTCAGTCGGCTAGGTCGTGTGTCGGCACGCGGGAGAAAGCGGTTCGATTCCCGGCCAGTGTGACAGAGTAAATATTTCTGAATTTTCGTACGTGCTTTTTCACCACGCAATATTCATCGTGGAGGGGATAAGTGACCTTCTCGCAGCAAAATTGCCTATTTTCCTCCAACCCTTTTCCTTTAACACCTTCCCTTCCTTCTCTTAAGTGCTCAGTACCCAGAGTAGTGCCATTTATGGGATCCGGATGTATAGCACTATAATATATATCCACATCTTCTTATCTTATCTTTTTTATTCTTAGTAGCATATGAAGCAAAGTTGCTAAAACCTTTGTAATCGCTAACCGCAAAAACTACTAAGCCGATTTTGCTGAAATTTTGCATACCGATTCTTGACTCTTCCTAGATGGTTTTGGTATGGTTTTTTTCTTGAAAAAGTTAATAACAATAACAATAAACAAGCTCAAAGTTTTGCTAAAATAAGCAAGCTTTGCGCTTTAGCTGAGTATAATCCGTTCGGTGGCGTCGAGGTAAAATTGAAGCCACCCGCAATCAAAGACAGTGAAGAGTGGTTATAATATGCCCCATCGAATTGTCGATTGTCGTAGTCGATCATCGGCATTACACCAAGTACAGAGGAGTCCGTCGTGCAGCTGGGCATCCCGGCTACTGATGACACACTTCTTTCATGGACAAGCGAAATAAATCAGTTCTTACCACGGATCACCAAAATCAACCGAGTGCCACGGAAAAATGGGCGTTCGAAACGTCAACGTTTCTGGTGAAATACCAGGAAACGTTTTTAGCCAGAGCGCAAGCTGCTCCAGCCCTTTAGAGCTTTGTGGCTGTTCAACCATCCGACCTGGTGCCGTCAGAGAATTTTCTACTTCAAATGCGAGCTAAGAAAGTTAGCCCTGAAGAGTACGGGTAGCCACAACGGTCTCCTTCTTAGTGGTCGTCCCAACGGCATACCTACAGAGAAGGTATTCTCCAGACCCACTTTCCTGACTAACGATGAGCGGTTAGTTATCCGGGGAATGACCCGAAGACAAAATATTCTTTGGTCAGCGGCGTACCTCCCAACCTGTACCTATGGTCTCTGTACACAGAGACTCAAAGGATAAGGGTCAAGCTACCCACAACCAGCTCGCCATCATCAAGAATAATAATAATAAAGAATAGCTGCAAGTTTCACCACTGGCCCTTTTCAGGGCCATTATAAGTATTTGCGTTCCCTACTTAACCATAAATTTCATCGGTTCTTTTAAGGGCCAACAAATACATTTTTACTACCATTTCCGGAAGCGATTTGTCGACTAAAAGACTATATTAACTAAAGGCTTCCACTATTAAACCAAGTCAGTCATTTACTGGCAGTCGTCACGAACGGAGTTATTTTTTGCAAGGTTGGGAACTCCAGTGACCGACGACCCTATATTACCCTT